CAGAAATTGGAGTTGGAACCACATTCTTTTGATCCAATTTGGGAGCAGTTCTGTGATGAATTGGTCTAGGAATCCTTCAAACGAAAAGCCCCAATTTTGTTTCTTAAGAACACTGTTTTCGTTTTGCAGAAATTGGAGTTGGAACCACATTCTTTTGATCCAATTTGGGAGCAGTTCTGTGATGAATTTGAGAAACGGAAGGCACCAGCTTTGAGGTCAAAGCTTTTAGAAGAGGGAGGGCCTGATATGATCCCAATTGGATCAAGTTACAAGTTGGAATTGCTTGGTCAAGAAGCCAACTCAACTTATTGGAAGAACTTGGATTTTTGCCTAAGTATTGAAGCTGTTTCGGGAAGCTCACTTTGTAAGTCTGGTTCTTTCGTTTGGCTTGTTGAAAATAGGGTTTGGAGGGTTTATTTTGAATCTAGTAAGTTCCTTTACAACTTGGAGGGTTTGGGAGCTCAAGGCAAGACTGGGAAGTTCGATTTTCAAGCTCACCAAATACCTAGGTCCACACAGGAAATCTGCCAGAAATTGGCTAAGGCATGGTACGTGTTCAGGAAGGCAGATTTGGAGCTCGATTCAAGGAGAATGGCCGGGAGTCGAGCTTCGAAGATGACACCCCACGAAAGCACGCATCTTCTAGTTCAACGACAAGCCATTGGCTGAGGAAGTACTTACCTGGAAGCCGTCGATCGAGAAGCTCAAAGTTGGGATCGAGGCTGTATTCGTTGCCGGAGAAGGGTGGCAGGACTGCAAATCCGAATTGCATTCGGATTCGAAATAATAATATGTTTCCTTGTTTGTTTTAGACTTCTTTCTCGTTTTAGGTTTCTTGTTGATTGTATTTAAGCATCACGAAGGGTCTGTAATAGTTGGACGACATTGATTGGAGAATTAAAACCCTAAAACAAAGTTTTCATCGCTTGTTTTTGGTTGAGAGTTTGGCCGCGAAAACCAAGCTCGATTGAGCTCTTGTATCGACCAAAATCGTTAATAACACAAAGACATATAACATTTAAAATGATAATTTTCAAGATTAATGTTCCAAAATCATCATTTTAATTGTTATTTAATGTGTAACTCAAAATAATTTATGAATAAGGGATAGAGCTCATGGGGTTTGGCTCTTGTTTTTCATGTTGTGTCTATTTAGTTTAACTCAAAGTAGCATTCCGACATCGTCTACTAAGCATGATGTAAAACTAAGAATAAGTGAATTCCAATAAGAATTTTAATGTCATTGGTTTGGTACAAATATATTCATTAATCAATTAATTTGTTAATAATGATGTTGATTATTTTGTACTTACAATATTATGAGAACTATTTTACCGATGAGTTAAACAAGGGGAAGGGAAAGTGGTTGACCGAACCCTAATTAGGTTATTTTTTCATTTTCAAATGTTCTTTTAATATGAAAAATATCTTAGAAGATACCCGTCATTGCCCTTTCCACTGAAACAGTTCTATTTCTTTTGAATTGGCTCAAACTGCCTATTTTGTTCACATAGGATCAAAATCTCGATTTTAGTACGATTTTACAATTTGAACGATTTTAATCCCGATTTTAAGGTCCACCGATTTTATATCAAAATCAGGATCGGAATCCCTAGGTAAAATCCTAAAATCCTACAATTTTACGATCAAAATTCCGATTTTGACTACATCAACCAATGAGCCCAAACTACCCTGCCTGCTGTAGCTGCGGAAAGCCCACACCGCACATGCACAACATAACGGCGCCATATTGTCCAAGTTTGCTGACGAGAACCCTTTTAATTCGCTTTTTACTCCGTCAAACGCTGCAAACTCCCCACAATTGAAGAACTGCAAAAGCTAGAACCTTGAAACGCCCTACAGTGGAATAGGTATGTCCCTTTTCTATCACTAATTATTATTCTATTATCACCCTACTGAGTTCATGGAGTAGCAGTATCGGTGTTCTGAAGTCACTACTTCGACTTGGACATCATGTGCATGGAATTATTAATTGACATGTAGTTTTTTTGGTTGTCAATTTGTTTACATTGCTCCTCCACTACTAATTATACCTTTTCCTGCGTCTCATACTCAAGGGTAAATGCAACTTCGACCATGAGCGAAAATCAACATAGTGGTGGGTCCTCTTCATTGGGATTGAGTGATCGTCAAATTCGTCGTTCAAGGGGACAATGTAATTTGATCGTTGTATTTATAGTTTTTTCTTGGGTAATGACTATTTATTAGCCAAATCTTTTTCGTATTTTTTTATTATTAACCAAACTTATCGAAATACTAAGAATTAGCCAAATGTTAACTTCTAGTTAGCAATTTTGTTACTAATATTGACTTGGCAACATGATGCTGACTTGGAAGAGATACATAAAGGTCAACATTAAAAAAATTTAGTATTTTAACTAAGAAAAGAGTTACATATTTATTAACGATAACGTAGAAATGACTAATATTTTGATGCATTACAAAAGATTTGGCTAATTAATAGCATTTTAATAGGTTTGGATAATTCAAAAGAATCTGACAAAGGTTTGGACAAAAAATAGACATTACCTTTTTTTTATTTGTCTGATTCTTCCTCTACATGTTAAACATGTGCACAAAATATAACTCCTGTCCCGATCCCGTGCTATTTTTCAGGGGTAATGCGAGCCATATTCAATCCGCCAAAACCTCCTTCCATACAACAAACTGTTGCTGAAAGGGATTGTCTTAATGAACTTAGTCAAGTGTCCCATGTTTAGTACATTAAAAAATTAAATGTAATTGAGTTTACCTTAGCCAGTTAGATCAGATTTCTATAGGTACCCACAGTTGTGGATATATTTACGCCAAATCGAGACTTTCATGGATTTTGTAAATACTAAACATTGTGATGGAGAAGAGATAATAAAGAGAGGAGATTAAATTAATTTTATTTATATATTGGGTAGTGTTAGTGTACAGAGATTGGGAAGGAATATTGAGATATGACTCAATGAGACAGATCCTCTAATTATAATAATCAATTCATTTTAAATTACGTAGCAGTCTAAAGGTTACAAGCAAAAATGGTAATTAATATTTAACTACCAGAAAAATTGAGGATTTAATATTTAATCATTTTTATAATTCATGTTATCTTTTTACTAAAAGTAGGTTTAACCTCCCACTCAAGATTTGTTTAACCTAATTTGAGAATTGTTGTTAATTTAAATTGATTCAATTGCAAAATATTATCAGAGTTTGTACCGAAAAATTCAATGTTATGATGTTTTATGTTGAAACTGGGGTTCACCGTTTCGTACTACTATAATTGTTTATAGGGCTTAGGCTCTAATAGGCTTTTCTTATGCCAGATCGCTGATATGGTACAATTTTGTAATTATTGATTATATTTAAATTTGTGGTAACTAGACCACCAAACTTTCATATTAAAGAAATCATTACAGAACATGGTTTTTGTTTTCTGGTTTCATTTTCAAAAGTCTAAAATATTCTCAGCTAAACAGGTTTTTCCCCATGAAATGGTAGTTTCCTTTGTTCATGTTTTGTTTTACAATGTCGAGGGAAAAAACATAGTAGTTACTGAGTTTTGCCATCCCTTTCTCTTGACCTACAAATATATTCCTTTCGTCTTCCCTTCTCCTTCCACCAAGTTTGAGTCTCCCACTAGCATCTTTCCTTTCTTCATAATCTACCAAAGTCTTTATGGAATGCACTTTCTTTTGTCGTTCGGTCAAAATTGTCTTTCTCGCTCCGTAATCTTTTGTGCTTGTTAAGTGAATTTGGGATTTACGATACAAAATGTTAAATTTGGGGTTAGCAATTTAGGTCATTCGTCTGTGGCTATCAATCTGCAACGTGCCCTTTCAAATCATGCAATTTCATATCTATAACCTGGGTCGTGATCAACAAATATGACAAATATTGGAAAAGATTTTCATTGATATGTTGGACTATATCACAGATCAATTATAAATGCTTTATTTATAAACATGTATATCGCTATCAGTTCCATATCTTTGCTATTTACAAGCATTATAAGTGGTAACAACACATAAAAAATGCATGATAATCTTTACTATTTACACACATTATAAGTGGTAACAACACATACAACATACATAATAATCAAACTCTCCGGCCAACAGGTCGGGCAATGTGCTAGGGATTCTTAGATTGGTGAGGATGAAGAGATAGGATTAGAAGGAATCGTTGGAGAACCCGGGAAAGATGAAGCGGAACTATCGAGAATCTGAGATAGGATTACACACCAGAAGGAAATCGATCGATTGTTGGTGAAGGACGAATACATGCATCGACTTTGGTTCCACTTCCATGTCATTCAATCTGGTGGCCCAGTATTCGCCCATTCTTTTGTGGGCTGGAAATTGATCAAACTGTTGGATTGATGGCCAAGTATTTATTTCCTATAACTTTTTTTTACGTTCATCTCATATAACATTTTTTAACACATTTTTTTACGTTCATCTCATATAACATTATTATTATTGTTTGTAAAATTATAAATCAATTATTTTAATTCATCTTCATAATAAACATTAAGTGGCTCTATCAGCATGGATAGTTTAATGTCAGCTTCTCCCATAAACACTTCCATACAATAATTTTTAGATAAATCTTTCATAGGACTTAATAGACACTTTTTTTGGCTAAACTTTTGTACAAACACGATTTTATTACAAAAGTTACCAAAACAATAAACTATTGTCAATTGGATTATAATTCAATTATTATCAAACAATACGATTGTGCTTAGGTTACACACCCAATGGGCGGGCCTGGTGCTACTAATGTCATTGGAGGAGGGAAAGGGTTGCTCGATTCCCCTTTTCCTTTTTTCCTTAAATTGCTTTTTTAATTAATTAGTGAATGACGAGGATGTCATCTCAGTTTAAGATGCCAAGTCACTCCAGGAAAAATAGTTTATCGTTAATTTTAACGGTCAATTTAAAACATGAGCCAAATTTGTCAATTTCTTTAAAAAGTTGGCTGCAACCATATTATTTAAAAATTTATTTAAAAATTGACACTTAAACCAAAATTCGAACCAAAATCGAGTATTGATCAATAAATAATTAAGATAATCTTGTAAGTTGTAACAATGGTTATACGAATGCAATTGGGACTGGTAGAAGAATCCCGTTATCTCGTGAATCTATACAACCCCATCAAATCATAATGAAATCCAGATTGCGGAAAGAGTAAAACGATGAGACAAGCGAGTTTTACGTGGTATCCCCGTTCTTGATTTAGAACGAGACTAATCCACGGTGAGCTCTCAAGAGCATCACGGCTGAGACTTTTATTATTCTTGATCGAAGGGATTTTGTTACAGAGAGAGTTATGGCCGACTGCAAGTTACAGGCCTATATATATATATGAATTGACAACCCTAATCACTTTCTCCATAGGTTACGTGAGAGGTAAGTAACATTAATAAGAGAATGACATGGACTAGGGAACACCCGGACCAATGGGTGAAAGACAGTTCACAATACTCCCCCTCAAGCGGAGGCATGGAGATCATACGTGCCAAGCTTGGAAAGGAGATGCTGGAACGAATCAACACCAAGCCCCTTTGTAAACAAATCCGCAGGCTTCTCAGGGGAGGAGATCTTTTGCGGGGCAATATCACGGGATTGGACTCGCTCACGAACAAAATGGCAGTCCATCTCGACATGCTTAGTTCGTTCGTGGAAGACGGGATTAGCCGCAATATGTAAAGCTGCCTGACTGTCGCAAAAGAGTGGAGTCGGACCCTGCTGAGGTGCACCAAGTTCACTCAGAAGCCACCGAAGCCAAATAATCTCACTAACGGTGCTAGCCATAGCACGATATTCGGCCTCTGCGGAAGAACGAGCCACTACAGTTTGTTTCTTGGTACGCCAAGACACGGGTGAAGCTCCCAAACGAATGAAGTAACCTGTAGTAGAGCGACGGGTGGTAGGACAGCCACCCCAGTCGGCATCGCAGTAACCTGTCAAGATCAGAGGATTCTGCGAAGGGAAAAACAACCCTCGGCCGGGCGAGCTCTTCAAGTAGCGAAGGATGCGATGAGCAGCATCGAGATGAGCTTGAGTCGGAGCATGAACCGCCTGGCTAAGCAGGTTGACTGAATAAGTGATGTCAGGCCGGGTGACGGTGAGATAGAGGAGGCGGCCAACCAGACGCCGAAAAGCAGAGGGATCAGGTGCAGGAGGTGACTCAAGACGCCCAAGTTGATGATTTTGCTCGATCGGTGATGCACACGGACGAGTGGCAGGGAGACCCGAGTCGGCAAGAATATCGAGAACATACTTCCGCTGATTGAGAACGACGCCTTTCGGTGAGCGAGCTACCTCTATTCCCAGAAAGTACTTGAGTGGACCAAGATCCTTGATGGTAAACTGAGAATGGAGTGAGGACTTAACACGCTGAATAAATGCTAAGTTATCTCCGGCTAAGATGACATCGTCAACGTAGATAAGGGCCACCACACAGGAGGTTGACGTGTGATAGATAAAAAGTGATGGATCGGCATGGCTCTGGCGGAAGCCAAGTTGTACCAATGCCGCAGAGAACTTTTGATACCAGTTGCGAGAAGCCTGTTTCAAACCATAGATCGACTTATGTAACTTGCAAACTCGTGTGTCACCGGGTTTACCGAAGCCTTGGGGAACCTTCATGTATACTTCCTCATGGAGATCACCATGCAGAAAAGCATTATTAACGTCCAGCTGGTGAATAAACCAGTTCTTAGTAACAGCCACTGCGAGTAAACACCTGACGGTAACGAGCTTTGCAACAGGAGCAAAAGTATCATGATAGTCAATGCCTTCTACCCGAGTAAAACCCTTAGCAACGAGACGTGCTTTATAGCGTTCAATCGAGCCATCCGGTTTGTACTTGACCTTGAAGACCCACTTTGACTCAATGGCACGCTTACCGGGAGGTAGATAGGTGAGCGTCCAAGTATGATTAGCTTCTAGCGCTGTGATCTCGGCTTGCATAGCAAGTCGCCAATGCTGGAAGCAGACTGCTTGATGATAGTAGCGAGGCTCAATGGTGTTGGTGACGTTAGCAATGAAAGCACGATGAGCTGGTGAGAGCCTATGATAGCTCACGTGGTTAGCCATGGGATATAGGACATGGTTACCCTGTGATTGGCCTGGGAGCTGAACGTCATAGACGTCAAGAGCCTTGGGTAGCTGCCGCGTGCGATCGCTACGCCGCAGAGGAGGTACGTCCGCTGGTGCCGGTGAAGTTGTGGGCACCGAGGAGCTAGTGTCTCCAGGAGAGGCAGCATCCAAAGATGGAGATGGGGACGAGTGTTCCGTGGTGGAATTGATGATATTGGGAGTTGGACTTAATGGAGAGTCATTGGCAGGTGTAGACTGAGGGCCAAACAACTCCTCATCATCATCAATAAGGCGGGCAGGTACACTACCATCAGGAGAGAGTGTGAGATCATGTGCACCAGCCAATGATGAGTGGCTAGATAGTGAAGACTCTTTGTAAGGAAAAACATGTTCAACGAAGACCACATCCCGGGAAGTGTAGATTTGTTTCTTCTCGAGATCATAGATACGGTATCCTTTTTGAGTTGCAGGATACCCAATAAAGATGCCTGGTCGCCCCCGTGCCGCAAATTTGTCAAGGTGGTGGTGAGTGTCCTTGGCGTATACGAGGCAGCCGAGGGTACGCAGGTGATCATACTTAGGTGGCACATCGAACAGCACTTGATATGGGCTCTTGTCATGGAGAGGAGCAAGTGGCATCCGATTAATTAAATATGCAGCAGTCAACACACATTCACCCCAAAAACGTAGAGGCAAGCCTGCATGAAATCGCAAAGCTCTAGCTGTGTCAAGGAGATGGCGGTGTTTTCGTTCCACCACCCCATTTTGTTGTGGCGTGTTGATACAAGAGGTTTGTAAAACAACTCCTTCCTTCTCGTAGTAATCACGCAACTCTGGAGTAGTGAACTCACGACCATTGTCAGTCTGAATCCGACGAACTGATTTCCCATACTGAGTTCGAGCCTGATTAAAGAAGACCAACAAATAACGTGCTGCTTCGGATTTATATTTCAACAAGAAGACCCAGACTGCACGACTGAAATCGTCCACAATAGTCAAGAAATAATGAGCTCCAGTAAAAGAAGTCTCATGATATCCACCCCAAAGATCCACATGAATAAGATCAAAACATGACGTAGTTTTAATCTGGCTATGCTCAAAAGGAAGACGAGTCTGCTTAGCCCGAAGACATGAATCACATGGGTCCTTGTTCAAAACTAAAGTACTAGAGATAAAAGGCTGAAACGCCAATAACTTCGAATCAGCAGGATGGCCGAGTCTGGAATGCCAACGTGCTGATGTGTTGATTGCTTCCCTTGCCGACAACGCCACTGGATGACCACCGTCCAAAACGTTGAGATAATATAAACCGTCACGGTACGTCCCCGTCCCAATCAGCTTCTTGGAGCACAAGTCCTGAATTACACAGAAGTTCTTTAAGAAGACTACGGCAACCGAATGATCAGCAGTAAGTCGACTAACGGACAAAAGGTTGCACTGAAAGTCCGGGACATGTAAAACACGGCGTAGAACCAGTCCGTTAGATAACTGTGTGATTCCTATACCATGTACCGGGACCCCTTTGCCATTAGGGATCCTGACCTGCAATTGTGAGTCCGTTTTGATCTCGCCCACAAATAAAGAGTTATCATTCACTATATGCTCGTTGCAACCGGAATAAATAATCCAAGGACTCATAGTAGGTGATTGAGAGCGAAACGATTGCGTACCTGACATGTTCACTGCCATGCTTGCGGTGGGTTTAGTGTCGGACTCGAGGAAGGCACGAAGCTGTGCGACTTGGGCTGCGGAGAGACCGGGGATGGAACTTGGTTCACTTTCAGCTGCAGCAGCTTGAGGATCGCGGCCAGATTTCCCACGACGTCGAGGCCTGTCACCGGGCTGTCGGGTCGGCCAGCCATGGATTTCATAACACGTGGCCTTGAAATGGCCCGGTTTTTGACAATGAGTGCAATAGGGACGTCCCTCTTCAGTGCGTTCTCGTCCCTCAGTGTGAGTATCCTCACGTCGACCTTGCTCCCCCTTGCCTTGAAAGGCGGCAGCTTCAATGCGAGGACGTGAGTCGGTGAGAAGGCGCTGCTGCTCGTCGTTAGCTACCATGTGGTACGCTTCACCAAGACTAGGGGTGGGCTTCATAGAGAGAAGCTGTGTGCGAACAACCGAGAATCCATCGTCGAGCCCTAGCAGAAAGTCCAAGAAGCGCATGTCCTCCTGGGAAGCTCGTGTGCGACGTTCGACATCGCACTCACACTTGCCACATGTACATTTTGCTGGCGGGTCGAGCGTGAACCAATCATCCCAAAGCCTCTTCAATTTTGCATAGAATGAGGCAACATTTAGCTTGTCTTGGCGGAGCGAGGTGATCTCCCGACGAAGCTTGTAACGGCGTGGTAGATTCCCGGTGGTGAAGCGTTCTTTCAGTTCATCCCATATTTCCTTTGCCGTGAAACTCGTGCTGAGACTGCTGCGAATTTCGCGGCTCATGGCGCTGCGCAACCACCCAACGACCATGGCGTTGCAACGCGTCCAGGCAGCAAGCAATTCTCCCGATGCTGGTCGCTGAACAGTACCTAGAACAAAGTCCAGCTTGTTCTTAGCAAGAAAGGCATTAGATATTTCGGCAGACCACTCACTGTAATTGAGGTCAGTGAGCAAATCCCCGACGAAGACCTGGCTGGGGGCGTCAGAAGGATGCAGGAAGAGAGGGGACGATGGGAGAATCACGTCCGCCTGCAGGGTCTCGACGCCCTTCACGTTCTTTGTGTTTGATGGTGATTCATCGCCCATGATTCCCGTCGACAAGGAGAGGATACGTCGGCGGCTGAGCTAAACACGAATACGAGACGCAAAACCTAATGGACCGAGGTTTGCTCTGATACCATAATGAAATCCAGATTGCGGAAAGAGTAAAACGATGAGACAAGCGAGTTTTACGTGGTATCCCCGTTCTTGATTTAGAACGAGACTAATCCACGGTGAGCTCTCAAGAGCATCACGGCTGAGACTTTTATTATTCTTGATCGAAGGGATTTTGTTACAGAGAGAGTTATGGCCGACTGCAAGTTACAGGCCTATATATATATGAATTGACAACCCTAATCACTTTCTCCATAGGTTACGTGAGAGGTAAGTAACATTAATAAGAGAATGACATGGACTAGGGAACACCCGGACCAATGGGTGAAAGACAGTTCACAATAAATCATACAATTAAAAGTAAGGAATTGGGGGGAAAATGTAGCGAATGGGTGTCATATTCGTCTGTATTTTTATTACAACAGATCGATAAAGTTGTGTTATGAATGTGACATATAAACAAATTTGATCATACAAAACACAAATACAAAAAGAAAACCCCAAAGAATTATATGGAGAAATTTGCAATGTCAGAATCAAAACAAAAATAAATGAAGACAAAAGCACAGGCTGTCCCCAACCCAGCTCTCTAATCTCTACTTCAATCAAAGCAACGGAGCAAAAGGAAGGCCAATCACACAGCAGACACTGAATTTTGGTGTCACCAATACCTTTGTCCCTGAATTTTACTAATCAACAAATCTGCCATTCAAGTTTGGGATAACGAACATAACAAGTACTTATATAGTTATATTCGGTTTTATAAGAGTTTGAATCCAGTTCGTCAAAATTTGTTTTGTCAAATTCATGTGAAAAAGAAAAAAAGGCAAAAAAATACTTGAAATAGCTTACACATAAGACACATATATCAATCAAAATTAAACTCATTACTCGATATAGTACTAGTGCATTAGCCTACATAGTCTTCTTTAGATTCTCGTGATCAAAGTAAAAAAATCATGTAACATATGTGTAGTTATTCTGACATATAAAAAAAATAAGTGTAGTTATTCTGAGTGAGTTGATAGTTGATAAATGATAACCTCTTCTGTAAAATTTGAACGTGGAGGTTTATGAAAGTAGTGGATAAAGGGAGTGTTGTGTTAATCACCCAAAACCTGAGTAGCAAATTCAGTGAGTGCCCAAATTGTTTAGTGACTGTTCCTGTAATTGTCCGGACAATAAAAGATCCCATGAACCGTCGGTGGACATGAAACTCTCTATACGTCCCAAAGCCCAAATGCACCAGTGAAGACATCGTTGTCCACGTGGCTCGTCCTCATTCGCAGTCAATACTGCCTCAAAAAATTTCTTGCTCTCTCTATTCTATTCTCAAATGTTGCCGACAGCGTCGTGGTTACCCTCAACAGCCTCAACAACTCCACCTCAGACCAATATTTTTGTATGATAAATGTTCTTTTGCTAAGAAACCGACACAAATATTGTTTGACAAATATTTTTATTTGGCAAATGTGAAATTTTATAAATTATTTGTATTTTAATGTTTGGATACAATATTTACATATTCTTTTGTAAAAATTATTTTATAAAATACAAACTAAATTTGTATACTTTTAACTTGGCGGAAGAAGAAATTCAATTTGTATTTCGAAATACCAATACGTTAGAGGATAATGAAATGACTCTTGTAAATAATTATATATCGATTAGAATTATACTCTTTGATAATATATATGTTATATATATCATGGCACAATGATTTTTTTAAGAACTTGTGTGCATATGTGTAACATTCCGGACCTTTGATCGACAAGATATTGTCCGCTTTGATGATAGACCCTCATAAATTTTGCCTTGAGATGCATATCAATGTGACTTCCTATAAGGTTACACAGCTTTACAATGCTCCACAATGAGCACGTTTAACTTCGGAGTTTTTACAAGAACCCTTTAATTTCACATCAAAACGCTTCTTTGTCAGTTAGAATCGATTTCTTACTTATAAATCAACGAACTCTCTCATACTTTCTCGATGTGAGATTCGTCTAAGGTGTTGTTAATGGAAAATCAAAATGTCACTTATTTCTAGCTAATATATATGAAAGCATGATGTTATCGGCGGACTCTTATTTTTTTCATTTGATAATTGTCGAGCTAATCATTAGGGCATAATGTTGTTGTTTGTGTAGTGTAAATAATTTTCTTCTGGGTCCCATATGGGATGTATCATGGGGAGATCTACCCTGGGGCTCTGTCTGTGCCAGCTCCTATAATTGAATCATCAACTCTTATGCAGATTTTTTTTAATGTTGGGGTTGATTAAAAGAAGACAAGAAAACTTATATATGTTTCTTTTTTCTACAAAGCCCACTACCCAAACAAGCCATTTTTCATACAACCAAGAGTGATGTGATACCTTAGCTGTTCTCTGGACCCTTTATACCAGGTTCCATAAGTCTTGAAATTGACAAATTGTATTGGACACAATAATATAGTTTTTAGGACCACTCTCAAGTTCGATTCATATAATCTAATATCGTTAAAAAGAAATTTTGATATATGCCAATAAAATATACTTGTTTATCCAATTCACCACTTTACGAATTACAAATGCTCATAGAGATTGATATAGACACAGAACATATATTGCCTGGATTCAACGCTAAAGAAAGGGGGAAAAAATATATTTTGTTACCTGGGGACGACAGATTTAGGGATGGCAAATTACCCACCCATGGGTAATTATACCCAAACCCAAGTAGACCCATTGATAATGGGTTGGGTATGGGTAAAGTGCATATGGATTTGGGGGTTTATAGATGGGTTTGAGTAAAGTATGAATATTGCTTCCATAATCTAAATGGGTATGGGTTGGACATGGATATCCATTTATTTGAGGGTGTTTTAACTACACATGCAAAAATTGGACCTATTTGTAAAACTTGAAAAGTTAGGTACCTAAATGTAAGACCAAAAAAATTTAGGTACCAAAACGTAATTTTCCATCGATATTTTGAGGACTTATATGCAAAAAAATTAAATTTAGGTACTAAATATGCATATCTATTAAGTTTGGGTACCAAACTGTAATTTGTATTTGGGCATGGGTACAAACCCAAATCCATTTGATATAAACCCAACTCAACCCAAAGTAAATGGGTATGGGTACAAACCCATCAAACTCTACCCATATCCATCTATTTGGATTTTATAACCAACCCAATTGAGGTGGATAATAAGAAACTCATGAGTATGGACAAAGTTGCTATCCCTACGACAGATACTCCCTGATGTTGAGTGTTGAAGGAGATGGATATTTTTCAGAAGGTTGTTTCACCAAAAGGGAAGGGCAGGGGGATTGCTCAAAAGCGAGTTCTTGATACTCACGGGAAGGATCATTGTTTGTGGCAAAAAGTTATATGACTTATTTATGAGTTGCAAATCAATTACTAACTCAGCTTTGTGTGTCATTTTAGACTGAAAAGACAAAAACAAAAAGTGCCTCCAGTCTCATCTTTCTTGTTTTGCCTACCTTCCAACTCCTTAGTCCAATTCAAGCTTCATGCTGCCAAAATTTAGAAATACTTGCACGACTTAGGTCTATATTTAGACTGATCAATTAAAGATACCAAAAACTAAGTCTAACTTTTAAAATCGGGTTTTCGCATTCAATCCATGATTTTTTTCATCATATCACAATATCAACCCTTCAAATTTTGATCCACCCATCTAACTCATTAATCCACCCATCTATAAAAAGAGAATTTTTTATCGATCATAATATGTATTTATAATACTCATCTCGACTTGCAAACCTTAAATCAATCCAAATCCATTATGAACCGATAATTATAATAACCGAAATTTACTCTAATTTCCAGGATGAATTGGGGTACAGTCTTCAATAGGGGTGGCTATACAGTCCGGTCCAGTTAAATTGGACCAAATTGATCCGGTCCCCGTCCGGTCTTTTCGGGAATATAAGGATCAAAAATTGGATTGGATACAATCCCGTCTTGATCCGGTCCGGTCTTGACTCGGTCCGGTCCCAATTTGATTTTGATTTTAGGTGTTGGGGGTCTCTTATCCGGTTTTTTTTTACCTCAAATCTAAGCCCGAATAAAAGATTGGATTGTTTGCTATTCGATTCCAGTCCGATCCCGATCCGGATTATACGGTCTAGTTTCGAATAAAACTAAACAGTCCGAACCAAATAGCGAGCCCTGGTCTTCAACGGCTTCAAGACTAGAGTTAGAGTATCCGTTAAAGTCCTCATCATCATCCTTCCTAGCTAGCTAGGTCCCACATTTTATGTGTTCCACCCATTGCCAACCTGGCGTATTCCCACCAATAATAATAAATCAGACACACACATATACAAACACTCGCTAACTCTCTCCTTTAAACCCAACCCACCACACTTTCCTCTCCACCACCACCACCACTTACTCCCCCACCTCCCTCCGCCGCCACAATGCCGACGCCCTCCAGCACCGCCGCCGTCCTCTTCCTCTCCCTCTTCCTCTTCTCCGCCACCACCATCACCTCCGCCCACAACATCACCCACCTCCTCTCCACCCACCCACAGTTCTCCACCTTCAACCACTACCTCACCGTCACCCACCTCGCCGCCGAGATCAACCGCCGCCAGACCATCACCGTCCTTGCCCTCGACAACGCCGCCATGTCATCCTTGCTCGACCGCCACCTCTCCGTCACCACCCTCCGCAACGTCCTATCCTTACACGTGCTGGTCGACTACTTCGGCACCAAGAAGCTCCACCAGATCACCGGTGGCTCCACCCTCACCTCCACCATGTTCCAGGCCACCGGGGCCGCCCCGGGGACTTCCGGCTACTTGAACATCACGGATCTCAAGGGCGGGAAGGTGGCGTTTGCCCCCGAGGAGAACGACGGCAAGATGGACGCCGTTTTTGTCAAGTCGCTTGTCGAGATGCCCTACAACATCTCCGTCTTGCAAATCAGTCAGGTATGCTTCTGCTTCTGCTTTAGCCTTTAGCCTTTATGTTATGTATGTGTCTTCTGGTAAGTAATTTCTGTCTCTTTGCTAGATTGGGGATGAATCCGTCACAATTCTAGATTAACGGATGAATGAATGGTGGCAATTAATTATTATTTACATAATCGTCAATGATATGATTAATGGGTTAGCCATTTCTTTTTTAATGATATGGTTAACTTCAAAGTTTGAACTCCAATTTTATTCCTTAGGTTTAACATCAATTGATTAGCCAATTTTTGAATGAAAAACTAGGCATCATAATTATTTTGCACACACGTTCTAGGAACTTTGTAGCATAGTGCCTAGACAATCAAATGGCATAAAGTTTTGATTCTTATAATTTGTTTCGAACTAATGTGGTGACTTCTTTTTTATATGCGCGATGGTGGGATTATTTATTTAAAGGAATATTTATATTGGTTGTGCAAGTTTTTTCCCCCTTTTTCGTAATTTTATTTATTGTGGAAAAATCCAGATTTTGTATGGTTGTCATTAATGTGTCCACGTCCACCCACGTGAAAACACAGCACTCCTCTGTTTTTCTTTTCTTTTCCTTCCTTTATGGGTGCTCATGTCTCTAGTGGGCATGATGTACAAAATATATTATATTTATTAATACATATAGGTGTGAAGAAGTGTGATCCATTTCAACAAAGTGATTTGTAAGAAATAGTCATTTAACTGGATTTAGGTAATACCTTAATTCAATGTGCATGTTCCGTAAATTTTCAAATGGAAAACGATTAGATCTAATGCTTATATTAATCATCAGGCCGTTTGATGCTTAAATTAGTCATCAGATCTAAATCCTTTGTTGCTAATAACATAATTATATTCAACTATTCTGTGAGTTTTTCTTTTGTTTAATGATGCATTTGTTACATTACATGATCATATACAGGCGGTAAATTCAGCCGAAGCAGAGGCGCCAGCTTCAGCCCCCTCGTTGAACCTGACATCAATCCTCCACAAGCAAGGCTGCACCAAATTCGCCGACCTTCTGTCCGCCACGGGGGCCGAGGCCACGTTTGAGGCCAACGTGGACGGCGGCCTGACGGTGTTCTGCCCATCCGACACCGTGATAACGTCCTTCATGCCGAAATACAAAAACTTGACAGACTCCGAGAAGCTCTCCCTCATGCTCTACCACGGCATCCCCGTCTTCATGTCGATGCAGATGTTGAAAGACAATAACGGCGTCGTTAACACGCTGGCAACTGACGGCGCCAGCAAGTTCGACATCACCGTCCAGGATGACGGCGAGATCGTGAAGCTGAAGACCAAAGTCGTGACAGCCACGATAACGGGGACGCTAAAGGAACAAGACCCCTTAATTGTGTACAAGGTGGACAAGGTTTTGCAGCCAGGGGAGCTGTTTGACGCGGATGACGTGGCACCAGCTCCTAAGGGTGCTAAGAAGGCTAAGGGGAAGAAGAAGGCCGCGGAGGCGGATTCGCCGGATTCTGCAGATGCGCCTGAGGGTGATTCAGATGATGCGACGGCGGCTGATGAGGACCAGAACGGGGTTGGGAAGATGTTGAACGGCGGGAGTTTGGCGACTGTGGCTTTGAGTTTGTGTATAGGGTTGATGTTCATTTGATTGGGTGGTCAAATCTTGTAGTTTCTTTTGTTTGTGTGCGTGTGAAATGTATCAATTTGATTGAAAGAAACTTGGGAGGCAGGGGAGTGATGAAAAGAGATTTTTTTTATATATATATGGAGAAGATTTGAGAATGATGGATGGAAATGATTGATTTTTGTTGGGAGACATTTATTTTAGAGGAGTGGTTCATGTGATTTTGGATAATGTTGATGTTCTTTGTTTTGTTTGATGACGGAAACTTTTTAATTATATAAAATGTTTTCTACGATAAGGTATAAACTCTAAAGTATGTATCATGCCTTGTCGAAATTTCATTATCCTACTGATTAGGGACGTATGTTGGATCATTGTTAGAAACAAGGTCCTAGGAAGTTTCAGATTCGTGTAGGATTGAGAAAATTATCTAGATCAATTATCAATTAGGAATTGATCTAGCTAGAGATTTAGAATAGGAGAAGAATTGAAGAACAAAGGAAAGGGAGAGAGATAGTTGTTGCCACAACTTTGGGAGAGGAAAGGGAGACGTAGGTTTGATAATTTGGTTCTGTTAATAACTATCTCATACCCCGCTAATACGATATGACAAACTACTCTCCAATTATTTCCAAAATTTCCTAAATAATCTCAAAACGTCTCAAATCGATAAATAATCTCAAATGACAAAAATAAGCAATAAATGTGTTTCTAACATCCCCGCCGCCTTGGAAAATGGAAACAACCTTGCCCTCAAGGCTATAGCTTATGCTCCAGGTCTTGATTCCTTGCCTCCTTCGTCTCGTCTTCAGCCTCGTCCTCCCAACGCCCCACCAACATCATCAGATCAAGTTTCACACACTTGTGCCCAACGATAAACCTCTCATCGCAGTTAAAGCACTTCCTCTCCCGCCTCTTCTACTCAATCTCTGTTGGTGACAATCGCACAAACCTGGGTCTCGGTCGCGCCGCTGTTGGCCCGTTTGTCGCCGCAGAGCACGCTCCGGAGGGCGCACTCCCACCTCCACTAGCAGTGGCGCTGCCGCCCCGCTTCCTCCGGACCTCAGGAAGAGACCGATTGTGTTCCTCCAGCTCGCCAGCTCCTCCTCCTTGTGACCTGCAAGACGGAAAGCAGTCCTCAAGGAATCCAGCTCGAAGACCTTGACCGCAGCGGCGACACTAAGCATGACACTTGCTTCATCTAGATCTGTTACATTCAAAATTCCCAAACAACATGATTTTTCACAATATTTACATCACGAGTCTTTGTACCAAAGATCGACATTTCATTCATAATGCAAGTGTCATTTTCAAATTTGTACTAAATGAACTTGTCACTTTCATTTTAAAACCATGAGGGAGAACCAGATTGTTCATGCCACTGTTTCTGAGTCTGTCACAAATCCTCATGATTTGCCTAACCATAGACTCCAGAAACATGTTCAAGAATAACAAGCTTTTAGGTTGTCCTAATATAGATTTCTTTATCCAAATCATCATTCACAAAAAGAAATTTTAACATCCATCTAATACATCACTTGCAATCAAACCATATATGGATGTTATTCTATAAGATAACCCAAAACTATCTAATATTGATTCCATCGATATATTACCCAAACCTTATCAACCAAGAGGTAACTTTACAAGTTTCTAAGTCTTACTAGACTCCAAAGATTCCATTTCATTAATAATGGATTTTCCCACACATTTACGTCTTAAGGAAGTTAGAACTTCTTGTAGACATGTAGGATTCTTCCTCGGGTGTAGATAACAAACTCATAACCAAAATCCTCTAGCGATTTATGGTTTGTTTGCTTCTTCAAGGGTTTAAACTCAGATTCACCACCCCCACGAGTTCCATTATTTCTAATAGTAGGCAGTATATTACCCTCACCATTTCTTAATTTAAAAGGAAGTCAATTAGCATTAATGGATTCCACAACATAATGAGCATTCTATTCATAGAACCTATACAACTTCATTATTGACAATATATGCAATAAAACACACTCATGCTAATCCTATATTGCACTGATTCTCAAATTATACCATACACATGTGAAAGCATTACATAGTGCAACCATTAATAATGCGAGCATTTCACATTATTCTAAATTGACTCTCCTCCCGTAAAGCCCGTCCAAACAAATCCAATAGAGGCATTGGAGTAATCTTTAATAGCGTCTACTAGATTTGAGCCCGCCTGTTGGCCGGATGAATTTGGTAAATGGAATAATTAACAGTAATCATTATATAGAATAATATTATATATTATTCTCATTTGATAATATAAAATAGTCTTAAATATTCAATTACTGAAAAATTAAAATATGTAATTGAAAGTAAGAAATCAAACTCATTCAAAAGAACCAACTCACAGAAAGCATAATCAAATCACATTTCAATTTATTTCTCACCGTCAAAGTTTACATAGTTATATAGAGGACTACATGTATGTGATAAAGTTAAATCACATATTTTCTACTCATATTGGTATCCGACTCACCTCTCAAGTAAGAATCTAAAAAAACCTTGGTAGCAATGTTGTTACAACTTTCCACACAACAACAATGAGTATGATATTTTGAGTCTTGTTTGAAGTATATAATTGTAAAATTCACATTGACTCACAATCTTATTGTTGAGCCCATTTGCATCCCCAATGTCAAAACATGGAATATTTGAGTGTCAACCATTCTCATCATGTGGGAATATAAGATATTCCAAAGCCATTAAAATTAGGTGATATATAGTATATACGAATTTGTTCCAGTTCATGAATTTGATAGTGGACAACGATATCGGGAGAAAATATTTGTTCCCTACTATCGTCAACAATTAAAGCAACAATCTCATTTGCATATGACAAATCATATTTTCTACCATCCCCTTCTATTTTAGCAAGCAACCTAGTTTCATCAAGCTGAACAATAATGTCATTTTATCTATCCATTGTAGATCAAAATGTTTTTACTAAGATATTACTTGAAGCTAACATCTCCTGCAATTGTTGAATAGCTGAATCATGCAAAAGGATTTGAAATTGGATCTATGAAGGAATAATCTAACCGGTTTTAGAGTTTAATGTATTGTCATATATGTAGAGTTGAGAAAATTTGGTATCTTCTCTTCAATAGGTTTTAGGCTACTAACTCAATGATATACTTCACCTCCAATCGAATAAACGTATACTTCTCGTCCATCATTTATAGATTGTCCAATTTATCTGAAACAGAAGTTAATGCAAATACCTCATTATAGCCTTAGACCTGTTCCAAAAATGACGTGCCATTGAAGTATTTGCTTGTAGTAGCATATTCAAAATTTCTGGAGGCTACCTTCGTGGAGGGAGGTTCACTTTGCCTTGTCTGTTGTACAATGAAAACTTTGGTTATTGAAATTCCTCGTGGTTTTGGACTTTTGCTACTCTCACCTTTTCACCTCATCGATCCACAATATCAACAATATTTATACGAATAGTTTCCATTATCAAACACTCCAACAATTGCAATAAAATTAAAATTCCTATTTAAAAAATACATTTGATAAAATTCTAACATCAAAATAAATGAAGAAATGTCAAATCAGGTAAATAAAAATAAACATTGAAAGTCTCCAAAACGCATCACTTGAAGATGATTATAACAATATTCAGCAAGTTGGATGGACCTTAACAATCTATTCCTCTTAGTTTATAAGTTATTCGATCTCATTTTGAAGTCCTTATCGGAATTAGTAAAGTAAGCAATCTTAGCATCAACACAAAATTTGATGACATATAAATAAAAACCAAACATGAAGTAAACGGACTACCAGTAGGAATGTTGACAATTTTTCCATATATACGCTTTTTCTTTATATAAAAAGCATATTTTTTTCTAGCTAATTTCTAAAATATAGAGTATTGAGTAATAATTTTGCAAGACGTATTTAATTATGCTAATAAAACTATATGTACTTACATTCAATTTTTGACAATCGAATTGAAGCACTGTATAAGCAATGTAAATTAACTTTAGTCTAAATAATATATAGCAAAATAGTTAACGATAGAGGGGTTCTAACATGAGCATGAAATCCTTAACCAATTACTTAAATCTGGTTTAGGCTTTATAATATAAATGCAATAAGAATCATTCATACCCCAAGATGGACCTTCCCAAGCTTATACAGAGCTCCAAATCCAAGAGACTTTTACCTAGAAGCACTGCTACTGGTACCCTCCAAAGAGAAGCAATAATGGAACTAATTTCAAGAAGAAAAAAATCAAAGGGAAAATAATTCAATTTCGTAGTATTTTGGCAGAGAAAGAAGAAGCGAGTCTCTATCGTTTGGTCCGATTAACATGTTAGAGAGCCATGAAACGAACTTTATCTTTGATTAACCTACCATTCCTAAGTGTTGTTTTAATTTTATTTCGTAGTCGATTAAAATGTAAGAGAAACCCTGGAATGAATAGAATTTTAGACCCATCTGTTATCTGGATGAATTATATCGTAGCCTTTCATAACCAATCATCTCTAACCGTATGTTGTTTTTATCAAGGATTATAAAACCATATCGGAGGTTGTAATGGAAAGTCTGCGATAGTGTATACTGTGTTTGATGTTGAAATCGTGGTTCAATCGTTTCATACCGCTAAATACCGTCTACCAGTTTTGCTTCCAGTAAGAGATTTTTCTGGTCTAGCTGTCGGTATGGTACATTTTTTCAATCCTTGGTTTTAATTTTTATTTCATATTCGATTAAAAGGTTAGAGAATACCGGGACAAAATAAATTTTAAACTCGTAATTCAATTTTCTCAATACACAACAATTATTATATAATTCATACTAAGATAACATATTATCAATACAGGTGAAGGGGCGGGATGCATTAGAAAATTCACACCAATGAATTACAAAATCACTTGCATATGTTGTCTCTATTGTCATCTGACAATTTATGTAATTCAATTCAAATTAATTTCATAGTATCTACATCAATATAATTTACTCACAATTCTTTTTACAATTAATATCGTTCAAAAATTTTGTTCCGATATATGACTCAACATATGACCTGTTTTTATTTGAAACTAAAGCAAGTATTATTTTATCTTTTTTTGCTGCCAAAAAATTGCATATACATACAGCCGTTCCTTGAAAGCAACCCACTAAAGAAAATATTGAGAATTCAGGCCCATACATATACATTACAGCCGTCCCTTCATATAAAATATACACGCAAAAATAAACCCAAGACCGGCTACTAAATTGACCATAAAGGCCTTCCGTACTCTGTTCCGGAATAAGGAAAAAGAGAATGAGGAGGGTGCAGGAGGAGAACCTCCATATAGTAGTGTTTAGATTTAGATATGAAGCTCGGAAGGTTCACGTCCCCATCTCTGCCTCCAATTAATTGAGATAGGCGTTCTTCCCCAACCCTACTCACGTCGCAGTTTGTGGAAGCCGACTTGTGCTTAGCAAGTGTACGACAGCGGCTAGCTAGGATTGGAACAGCAACGGACACCGATACAACTCTTCTTCTTCCTCCTCAGACAGAAGGCAAAATGGCCACGGAGACCCCTATAGAGAAAAAAACCCAAAAGAACCAAATGCCCTTCTTTTTTTCTTCTTCAATTCCACATTCCCCATCGCAACAAACACAAAAAGTTTCCCTCATGCGAGTGGGACTTATGGACAAAGAGGAGCAGATAGTAACCTTTGGTGCTATAACCACATGCATGGCTCAAGATAGGGTGCATAACCATGGGTTATGCATCCATCAATAACCAAATCTGTACCCTTCATTTAGAAAATCCAGATCTAAGGATGGAGAATTAAAGACCATTTTTATTTTCCCTAGCTTTCTTAATCAACTCATATCTTTTTCGTTTTAACTCGGATTTTAATTTTTGTTGCACAGATGGAACAAGTTCATCGCGCTCTACAAAATGAGATCAATTTTCAATATTATTTGAGAAAAAAATCATGGCATCTCGGTACCAACTGCATACCATATGGTATCTTCTTCGTTTTTAATTCGGTTTTGAAAACGTTTGCACAGAAGGGACGAGTTCATCATGATCTATTGGATCTACAAATTTATGGGTGAACAAATTACAGGACCAAAAAATACCACACAATACCATACAATACCACCCTGGTACGGGGTGGTATCTTGTGGTACACAATGTTAACTGTCGTAAATGACAGTTAATATACTTCTACTATCATGTATTCAACCATCCTACAGTCTTTGTTTGTTCATACCACCATGGTACGCTTTTCAAACCATAGGTATGCTCTTATATCAATACCAGTCAATACCATATGGTATAGTGGTAAAAAATGGCTAAATTTTTTTTGTTCGGAAAATATATCAAAGTGGATATCATTTTGAAGAGCACAATTAATCTGATCTAACTGTGCGAAAAAATTAAATTTCGACTTAAAACGAGTGAGAAATCATCCGTCAAAGATTAAGGAAGGAAAAATTAAAAGCTTTCAAAGAGAGAGAGGATGCTGATGTTATGCTGATGTGGACGGGTTACTCATGGTTACTCACCATAAGGTTACTGACCTGATCCATTCCCCACATGTATAACCCAATAAGAATTCGCAATATCAGCGCCTCCTTCTCTCTTCTTGAAAAACCTTTAATTTTTCTTCTCTTAATCTTTAACAGACGATTTCTCACTCGTTTTAAGTCGGAATTTAAATTTTTTGCACAGTTAGATCAGATTAATTGTGCTCTTCAAAATGATATCCACTTTGATGTTTTTTGGAACAAAAATAATTTACGAGTTATTACCCGTCTATACCATATGGTATTGACTGGTATTAAATAACAGCATACCATATGGTATGAAAAATACCACCCCATACTAGGGTGGTATAGTATGGTATGGAGTTGGTAACAAGAAGTATGAATTTTTTTCACCCAGAAAATTTGAAATCTAATAGATCATAATTAAATGGGTTAATACCCTAGTTTGGCCCGAAGTTTAGTCTAAATGACAGTTCTGGCCTCAATTTTCAAATAAGACATTTATAGCCTACTTTTGAAATTATTGGACAAATTTGACCCGAAACTTGTGTTGACTATTAATATTAACGGTCAAACATTTATTCCGTCAATGACTCAGCTTGAGGTGGCATCCACATCACTTATTAATTAAAAATAAAAAATAAAACAACAATTGCATCAATTGTTGTGTTAAAAAACGACACAAATTCTCGACAGAGACCCTTCTTCCAATTTAATTGCATCCATTCCACATTCCTTTAGAACCCGCACCGCAGTATCAACTGCCTGCGCAGGATTCGTAGGTCTCGAAGGGCAAGTCTCCGACGAGGAGCGGGCGCTTGGCACCATGAGCGACGGAGCGGCAGTGGACGAGCATTTCGTCGAGGGAGATAGGGAGAGTAGTGTCGTGGCCGTGGACAACCATGGAACCGGAGTCGCCTTCGCCGGCGCCAACTGGTGGCGGTTCGTCTTCTCCATCGGACCGATGGTGACTAACGACGACGGCGCAAGGACGTATCTACGGAGGATGGCGTCGATCTTGACGACGATGGCTCCGAGGGCGGCGATGTAGATATGGAAAATGATGACAAACAAGGCGGCGTCGAGGCAGTCAGAGATTGGACGGAGGAGGTCGATGGTGGAGGGAAGATGGAGGTCGCCGGAAGATGGAGGTCACGGCGGCGGAGGGTTAAAGAAGATGACTGGCGGCGGAATGGGGATGGGTTGGTGTTGCGGGGGGGTCTTTGCCGAGAGTAAAGAGAGAAGAACTAGGGATTTTCTGATCCTTCTTTTAATTTGTTGCTTTGTTTTTAATTTTTTTAATTTTTTCCATCAAATTAAATACATAATTATTTAATGATGTGGTGATCAGCCACATCAGCACTATTTTGCTGAGTCGTTAATGATAAGAATGTTTGACTGTCAATTTTAACGGTCCACACAAGTTCCGGGCCAAATTTGTCCATTACTTTGAAAAGGAGGACATAAATGTCTTATTGAAAAATTCGGGCCAGAACTGTCACTCGCGCTAAACTTCGGGCCAAACTAGCGTATTAACCCTAATTAAATCGTTCCTTCTGTGCATAAATTTCCGAAAACGACTAAAAAGCGAAGGAGATACCATATGGTATGGAGTTGATAACGAGAGGTATGAAAAAAATTTTCCTCAAAAAATATTGAAAATGGATATCATTTTGTAGAGCACAAAGAACTCGTTCCATCTGTGCAAAAAAATTGAAATCCGAGTTAGAATGAAGAAAATATGATCCAATTAAGAAAACTAGGCAAATTTTTTTTTTTTTAATTCTCCATCCATCTAGAGCCACTTAAAAGAAAGATCCAGATTTGGTTACTTATAGTTATGCACCCTATCTTTAGCCTGGACAAAGTAGTTAATTATCTAGGGAAAATTAATTGGACAAAGAGCAACTAATTTTGTAAGAGACGCGATTGAAGGCACAACGTTACTGTGCCGAATCGCGGTCAAAAAATTGCTCCCTCAAATCGTCATTGTCGTATTCTTTCTGTAGAGGAGGAGAAGCCAATCGAATGAGCCATCCGGGAGAGCGATCAAGAAAGCAGCCAATAGAGTGGCAACCATTTGCTGGTACTTTGCGTCCGATTGGAACCAGATCTGGTAATCAACCTGTTCGGTAGACATGACAACAACCAAACGTTTTAAAAGCGTTAGAAATCGAACATGAAAATTAGGGTTATCAATTTGGATCTGAGTTGCAGACTATATCGTCTTTTTAAAACGTTCGCGACAGTGCCCTCGTTGCGCACGACAGACTATCAACCGGTTGCCTCCAGGATAAAATAGCTCGTCTAAGTGCTCGGAGTCGGCAGTTTTGTGCAAAAACCGGAGCTCTCTCAAATACACTCTCTCTTGTGTTTCTGCTCTATTATCGTATGTTTAAAGGATCTGGGGAGTGCTCTATTTATATGAGCAAAAACCCTAGAATATTCCCTCCTTCTCTCTCCTTCTCTCTCCTGCCTTCCTCCAAAAAGAACCACCAGAGGGCAGAGACCAGCCCTTTTCTTCCTTACTTCATTGCAGATTTAGACACCACGGCGGCCGGTCGCGGAGGAGAAGCAGAGGCACACCGGCGGCCACGGAGGAGAGCGAAGGGAGACATCCCCGGTGCAGGGAGAGGCGAAAATGGAGAGGGAAGGGATGGCGATGGGAGACGCGCGGATGCCTGGGGTCGTCGGGGATGGGAGATGGCGATGTCGGAGAGGAATCGACGAGGAGAAACGATGCTATCTCTCACTCTGGCTCGCGGTGCCCGGTCGTCGAGGAGGGCGGGGAGGGGAGACGAAGTCATCGGGGAGGGTTGCTGGGATTTGGATGGCGAAGGGCTGGGATTTGAGTACGAAGAAGAAAGAATTAGGGTTGGGGTTTTATTAAAAGGATGGTTGGTCGGTTATGTTCGATTAGTCGGGTAACCGCGGTTAATCATCCTCGGTTACTCGGCTAGCCGAGAACCAGCTTTATTCTACCGAACACCGACCGAGGCAAATAACCGGCCGGTTAGCCGCTAACCGGAAATCGAAATGCCATCCCTACCAGATACCACCTTGTTTCTCTCTCTCTTCTTTCCATGAATTTGAAAGTGATCTTATAGATCAGTAATTTGAAAACTGTTGATATGACTTGAATCGGACTATCAGCCGCTACGACTATAAATACTTCTCATTCTCATCTGTAATATGTAATCTCCTCAATATAGTGAAACTGGCTCTCTCTCGCCCGTGGACGTAGCTAACACACATCGTGTTAGTGAACCACGTAAATCGTGTGTCTGTGTTTTCGATTCTCGCTTTCGTATTCTTGCTTTGTCGATTCCAGCGATTTCCCGACCCGTAGCAGCGCGTTTATAACAAGTGGTATCAGAGCCGCGGCTGGAAATCAGGTTAGGGTTTTCGATTCAGAAGAATGACGTTGGTGAACATGAAGATCGAAAAGTTCACGGGGAAGAACAGTTTCGCTATATGGCAGATCAAGATGCAGGCTTTATTAAAACAGCAAGGGCTGTGGGGGCCGCTGTCTGCGAAACAGAAGAAGGCAGCGGTCGATGACGATGAGTGGAATACCCTGGAGGAGAAGGCCCACTCGACCATCATGCTATCATTGTCTGATGACGTCATCATTGAAGTCGCTGCTGAGAAGACTGCCGCGGGCTTGTGGTTAAAATTGGAGAGTCTGTATATGACGAAGTCCTTAACCAACAAGCTGCATCTCAAGCAACGGTTGTTCAGCTTGAGGATGCAAGAAGGTACGCCTTTGAGGGAACATCTCGAACAGCTTAACTCTATTTTGCTGGATCTGCGTAATATAGATGTTCCAAGTTGATGACGAGGATGCTGCCCTAATCCTGCTGGTTTCTTTGCCGAGTTCATATGAGAATTTTGTTGATTCTTTTATTGCTGGTAAAGAAAGCGTGTCGTTGGAGGATGTCAGGTCTGCTCTTCATACGAGAGAGATCAGACATAAGGCGTCCGGATCTGGTACATGTGGTGAGGCATCGGGTTTGGCTGTTACAGGTGGAAAGGGAAAGAAGAAATCTGGCAAAGGGAATTCGAGCAAGAATTCCAAGGGTCCCGGTCCACAGCCAGGTGATGCTTGTCACAACTGTAAGGAAGTGGGGCATTGGAAGTACAACTGTCCCAAGAGAAGAGGGCAACAGAAGAAACAAGGTTCAGTTGCCGTGGCAGAAGTGGACAACAGTTCTGAAGACGATCTCGCCTTGGCTGTAGATGAGAAGGCACATCGTGGGGATGTGTGGTTTCTGGATACTGCAGCCTCATACCATATGTCTCCGAACAGGGATTGCTTCACAACCTACGAGCAGATAGATGGTGGTAACGTGGTCATGGCTAATGGAGCTGTCTGCAAGGTTGTTGGAATCGGGTCCATAAAGGTTCGGACACATGATGGTTCGTTCTGTACCGTGAATGATGTCAGGCATGTTCCACAAATGACAAAGAACCTGATCTCCTTGAGTCTACTCGACAACAAGGGTTTCAGTTTCAAAGGAAAAGGTGGAGTTGTGTATGTCTGCAAAGGTTCAAGGAAGGTGTTGAAGGGTGTAAAGCGTGGAACCTTGTATGCATTACAAGGGTCTGTGTTGTCTGGTTCTGCTGCAGTTGCATCGTCTCAGGTTCATCAGGAAGATATGACCACTCTCTGGAACATGAGATTGGGGCATATGAGTGAACGGGGGATGCAAGTTCTGTCGAAGAGGGATCTTCTTTGCGGGCACAAGATGCAGAATTTGGAATTCTGCGAGCATTGTGTGTTTGGGAAGCTACATCGCAGCAAGTTTCCCAAGAAGGGTATCCACCGGACGAAGGGGATAGTAGATTACCTCCACTCCGACTGTTGGGGTCCTTCACGAGTTGAATCCATCGGAGGCAGCAGGTATTTTCTGTCTATTATTGATGATTATTCGAGATTTACTTGGATTTTCATGATGAAGCAAAAAAGTGAGGCTTTCAAGAAGTTCAAGCAGTGGAAGACATTGGTGGAGAATCAGACCGGGAAGAAGATCAAGAAGCTGCGAACGGACAATGGTCTGGAGTTTTGTAATTCTGAGTTCAACGAATTCTGCAAGGATGAAGGGATTGCCCGTCATCGGACTGTGAGAGATACACCCCAGCAGAATGGCGTTGCAGAAAGGATGAACGAGACATTGTTGGAGAGAGCACGGTGCATGCTCTCTAATGCTGGACTAGAGAGAAGATTCTGGGCAGAAGCAGTGAACATGGCGTGCTTCCTGATCAACCGTGGACCTCACACAGGTATCGAGTTGAAGACTCCTTATGAGGTGTGGTATGGTAGCAGGAATGTTGATAAGCAGGTGGAGCTGCAAACTCTCAATGAGAGTGAGTTTGAGCACCAAGGTGGAGAAGATCAACATGATGAGGATGTCTCTACAGAGCCAGAAATTTCAGAGTCCAGTGCACGAGCTCAACAGTCTATTGCTTCCGGTAGACCGAAGAGAGCGACTGCAGGAGTACCTCCACAGAGGTATGGCTTCGAGGACATGGTGGCGTATTCATTTCAGGTTGCTGAAGAAGTGGATGCAGGAGAGCCACAGTCCTATAGAGAAGCAGTTTCGGGTGGTGAAGCTGATTAGTGGCTTGCCGCAATGGGAGATGAGATGGAATCCCATGACAGGAATCAGACTTGGGAGCTAGTCAAACGACCACAGGGAAGGAAGATTGTTACAAACAAGTGGATCTACAAGAAGAAGGAAGGAATCACTTCTAAAGAGGCATGAAATTTAAAGCTCAGGTGGTTGCACGTGGCTTCTCGCAGAGGGAAGGAGTTGACTACAATGAGATTTTCTCACCAGTGGTCAGACATACTTCGATCAGAGTGCTACTAGCAATAGTGGCACATTATGACTTGGAGCTCGAGCAGCTAGACGTGAAGACAGCTTTCCTACATGGAGAGTTGGAGGAAGAAATTCACATGACTCAGCCAGAAGGTTTCGAGGTTCCGGGAAAAGAAGACTATGTTTGTAAGCTGAAGAAGTCCTTGTATGGACTTAAGCAATCTCCGAGGCAATGGTACAAGAGATTTGACAGTTACATGCTTGAGCTGGGCTACAGCAGAAGTCCATATGACTGTTGTGTGTATCACAACAAGGTGGAGGATGGTTCGATGATCTATCTTGTTCTGTATGTGGATGATATGCTCATAGCTGCGAGGTCGAAGTCTGATATCCAGAAGTTAAAGGGGCTTCTCAGTGCTGAGTTTGAGATGAAGGATTTGGGAGCTGCTCAGAAGATCTTGGGTATGGAGATTTACAGGGACAGGTCGAAGAAGAAGCTTTTCTTGTCACAGAAGAGCTACATCCAGAAGATACTGTCGAGGTTTGGCATGTCTTCAGCAAAGCCCTTAAATACTCCTAGTGCTTCAAATGTTCATCTATCCTCAGCATATGCACCACAGTCAAAGGCTGAGAAGGAGTACATGTCGAGAGTCCCATATGCTAGTGCAGTAGGTAGCTTGATGTACGCTATGGTATGCACTAGACCTGATCTTGCACATGCTGTTAGTGTTGTCAGCAGGTTTATGATACAACCTGGGAAGGAGCATTGGCAGGCTGAGAAGAGGATCTTCCGGTACCTTAAGGGTACACCTGATGTGGGAATTAGCTTCGGAAGTGATACAGAGTGTTTGGTGTTTGGGTATTCTGACTCAGACTATGCTGGAGATGTTGACACGAGGAGATCGATGACCGGTTATGTATTCACTCTTGGGAGTTCTGTAGTGAGCTGGAAGGCAACTTTGCAGTCGGCGGTGACATTGTCTACTACTGAGGCAGAGTATATGGCGTTGACAGAAGCTGCTAAGGAGGGAATATGGTTGAAGGGACTTGTTGGTGATCTTGGTCTACATCATGATCATGCAGTGGTGTATTGCGACAGTTTGAGTGCAATATGCTTGGCCAAGGATCAAGTCCACCATGAGAGGACTAAGCACATTGATGTGAGGTATATTTCTTGAGGACAGAGAAGAGGATTAAGGTGAAGAAGGTTGGCACCGCGGATAATCCTGCTGATATGTTCACGAAGCCGGTTCCACATGGCAAGCTCCAACACTGCTTGGACTTGCTGAATGTCTTGAGTGGGTGACTCCGCCCTGCGGGGCATTGATGGCGGGAGAGAGATAGAAGGAGCAGAGTACATCAGAGATTTCAGAGGAAGAGGATTCAAGTCAAGGTGGAGATTTGTTGATATGACTTGAATCGGACTATCAGCCGTTACGACTGGTAATCGGGGGTCTCCTCAATATAGTGAAACTGGCTCTCTCTCGCCCGTGGACGTAGCTAACACACATCGTGTTAATGAACCACGTAAATTGTGTGTCTGTGTTTTTGATTCTCGCTTTCGTATTCTTGCTTTGTCGATTCCAGCGATTTCCCGATCCGTAGCAGCGGGTTTTTAACAAAAACCTTGACGCAGGTTCCATGCCTTGGTTAAGGCAATTTTTATCGACTTGAAATTGGGTTTATTTTATGTTATCGAGCGACTTACAAGGTCTAACAATCATAAAACCCTTACTAACAGTGAATCATAGTCCATCTCTTCTATCACCAACGGTTATTTGACATGCTATTATGAAATTTTGAATCTGGGTGGCAGAACCTTCAGTTCTCGCTGCTCCAGTTCCGAAGGCTTTTCTCGGTTCTCATTTTCAGCACTAATTACCATTGTCAATACCTCATCTCTCGCTCAAATCAATGGAGATTGCTACCTTACCCGAATCGCTGAGGTTTCCAAGAAGTCGAGACCTTTGAATAGAAAAACACCTTCTCTCAAAACTCTCACTATCAAAGAAACTATAGACACAACTCTAGGAATCTAATGAAATTGCTAACGGGAGAGTGTCTAAATGTGACATGTTTCAGTAATTCGAGTGACATTTATAAAAAAAAAAAAAGTAATTCTAGTGACCGGAGTTAGACGGAGGCTAACGGAAGAGTAACTAAATGTGACATGTTTTAGTAATTCGAGTGACCAAAATTGATATTATATTTTGGAAAAATCGAGCTACAAGTGCTTCACTTCAACTAGACAATATATTTACTGGGCAGTCATATAAAGGAAGAGGCAGCATTACTAGATAACATTAATAGGTGAATGCCGATCCTAAAGTTGGCCACAATTGATAGATTGTCAAGACTGGAGGTTAGTGCTCTATAGAGGTGGCAATTAGGATCAAAATCCATGAATCCAATCCAATCCATCCACCAAATTATCCACTTAATCCAATCCATTTAAATCCAATCCATTTGATCCAAATCCAATTGGATTGGTGGATTCATGGATCAATCCATGGATCCAAATGGCAAATTACGATTTGGTACCTATATTTCTTATATTTTACATTTTGGTACCTAAAATATATATTTTTATAAAAAATCATTGGAAAATTACATTTTGGTACCTAAAAATTTTCATTATGACATTTTAGTACCTTAACTTTTCAAAATTTACATTTTGGTCCAAGTCTTGGATGTCATTTGGATTCATGGATCAATCCACCAATCCATTTGATCCAATCCATGAATCCACCAATCCATTGGATCCAATCCATTTGATCCATGGATCCACCAATCCAATCCACGAATCTGATCCAATTGCCACCTCTAGTGCTCTACAATTTGCTGCCTTTGTTATTATTACAGTAGAGGTAAACTTCCTTCCCAGAAGCTGATGAGACTGGCACAGCAGAGAAACCAACATATGCTCCTGCTGCTCGATCTCTACAGATCTCAGCAACTTTTTGGAACTGTCCATGTTTCTTATTGTAGGGCTGTTCCACATACTCCTTGATTGGCATCCACTGCAGAGAAGAAGGTAGAGTACTGCAGTGAATATTAGTGGCTCCCATTTGGCCAATATTTCTGTATGTGTTGATGGTTTTTTTTATCAATGGATTTATTATGTATATGCAATATGTATAGCTACTTAATCACTTTGGAATCTTCTTTTTCTCCCTTTTCTTGTAGCAGAAGGAAGGCCGAGTTCTGGACTTCAGTGAATGCGGGACTCCTGAGAAAGGAAAGGAGAATTGGAAGTATTCTTCTACTACAGGTGCAACGAGCAGCTTGGTGAGTCCTTCCACTTCTTCCCACCTGTTGAAGAGTTTCAGATAGCAGAGGAAGAAAGCCAAGAAGGGAAGGAAAAGAGAAGAAGGAAAACAGTTTTAGGCTGTGGGAAATTCTATTGTTTATAGTAACACCAAAATATAGATGTATGTATGCATTTTGTCAGGAATCCGATTTTCGTTAAGAACCTTCAATCTAGTCTGAACTAATTCAATGTTGTTCATCGCAGTCTCTCCTATCAAATTCGAAAGAAAAGAAGAGAAACCGTGTATTTTTCCTTTTCATTGTGTCTCGTCCATTTACCTCAGTCTGTCTGGAATTAGTTTCGTCTTAATCTATTAGGAATTATTTTTTTCATGGAACACAGAAGGGTAAGTGAACTAGTCGAGGAAGATTGGAGATTGCTGGTAGTAAGTCGAGAGAAGGTTTGTTTCAGAGGTTAAAAACAGAAGTTACAGGGTGGAGTATCTCACTGTTTCTACCCTCTTCTTGTTTATATCGTAGAAACGTCTTCTCGATCAAGTATACTGAATCTCCCACCAACTGACCAAGTATACAGAAGACAGTGTTGAGGAGTTTGTTGCTGCAAATGAATCTGTTACTTCAAGAGTGACAGCTACACAATGACAAAATCTCTCACTAGCAGGCCCCAACTCCAAAATATTACAAAGTTTACGAGAACGAAATGAAAAACACAAAACTAGTCCGACAAGATGGAAGTTCAAACTGGTTGAAAACAAGCAAGATGCAACTATTGCCAAGAAACATAGAACGAAATTGTCTAATTTGATCCAAGAGAACAAGCTTGTACGCGATAGAGGTCTCACAAATGAACGTGCAGACTTCGATAGTGATCACTACTTCACCGGATATTCATGGAAGCTGCAATAAGTCTCGTGTGTATGCATCAAAATACCCCTCATAGAAGAGAAAACGCTTGGTAGCTAGCCGAGAAAGCATCTCTAGAATAGGTTACAAGTCAGCCTCGCAATGCAGTTTGACCACATCCTGCAGTGACAAAAATCAAGGAATGTTGGAGACCGCTTTTATTTTGATTCAAAGAATATGTTCATTGATATAGTTAAGAAGAGTGTACCTTGGAGACGGAATGCCCAAGGGCAGTTCTTCCTCTTCTTCTTCACTGAAAAATTCTTGTCCATGCGCAAAAGGAATACAACTCCAAAATACAACCAAGGTTACAAAGTAAGAGATAAAAACAGAACTAGCCCCCACAAGATGGAAGTTCAAGCTGGTAGAAAACAAGCAAGATGAAACAATTGCAACGAAACATGGAATGAAAGTGTCTAATTTGGTCCAAGAAAACAAGCTTGTACGCCACAGAGGTCTCGCAAATAACTCTGCAGACCGCGAATACTGATCACTAGTTTATCGGCTATGCATGCAGGTTGCGATAAGTCTCGTATGTATGCGTCAAAATACCCGAGAGAGAACGTTTGCTAACTAGCCGAGAAAGCATCTTTGGAATAGGTTACAAGTGAGTCTCGCAATGCAATCTGACCACATCCTGCAGTGACAAAAATAAAGGAATGTTGTTGGAGACCGCTTTTAAATTGGTTCAAAAGAATATGTTCATTTATGTAGTTAAGAAGAATGTACCTTGGAGACGAAATGCCCAGGGGTAGTCCTTCTGCTTCTTCCTCGAGCTCGCCCTCATGATCATCGTCTTCTTCTTCCTCGCCCTCGCTATCATGATCATCATCTTCTTCTTCTTCTTCAATGAATAGTTCTTCTTCTTCTTCTTCTTCTTCTTCTTCTTCTTCTTCTCCTCCTCCACCACTTGCTTCTTGTTCTTGAAGTTGGTTTTCGTCTGCTGGTTCTTCTACTCTCACGTAGTTACCATCCTCTTGAATTGTCATGTCATTAATTTCAATATTCCGAATGTGAGCAACTTTGTGCCAGTCCTCGGCCATTCTACTCTTCAATCTGGCTGATAGAAAATGACAGCCATCTACATACAGAGTATCTAGCGCTGTGAGCTTGGGTAGCCATTTTGGCAAGCACTTGAGACCGCCACAGCTTTCTATCCACAGCGTCTGCCAGTTAGAGGAATGCTGAAGCCACTCTGGTAGACTCTTCATCCCTGGAAGATTACTTATAAAAAAGTAACGGAGGTTTGGAAGCGTAGAGAACTGGAGGGAAGGGAGATGTTGTTGTTGACTAGTAGCCGGTGGAGACAGATTCGTTAGGTTCGGGCAATGCATTATCCGCAAATCTTCCAGGGATGCAAGATGTGGGAGTAAACCTTGCGGCAAAATTAAAAGGCCTCTTATCCCCCAAATTGACAGTCTTTTCAACCGCGAAGGGGAGCTGGGTGGTGGAAGTGACGCAACAAACTGGTCCAACAGTTTGCGGTCAACATATCTTAAGTAAACCGTTTCAATATCCGACAAAAAATGAGGAAGTCGTACCAGTTTCGGGCAATTCTCAATGCGGAGATCTGAAAGAGAAGGGAACTGCGACATTTCTATCTCTGTGGTTGACCTCCAGCTTACTAGCCTGGGGCAGTTGCGAATGCGGAGAGATATCAAGCATGGAAGAAACTGACCAGCGTCATCCTCGATTAACTCTAAGCGACCTAAATCAGACAATGTCAAGCGAATCAGATTCTGCAGAGAAGTAAAGAACCAGCTAGGTAGACTGTGACCGCCATAACCAACCAATTTTAGTTGCTTCAAATTCTTATGTGGCTCCAACGCCTTTAGTACCCCAACATCTCTGCCAGCAAAAACTCTTCTCGATAAGCTCCACTTTAATGTCAAGGCTTGAAGATGTTGCTTCCGAAACAAACTTGTCGCCTTCACTTCAGCCTCATCCTTCACCAACTCCAGATGTTTGATCCTCAATTTCCCAGTTAGATTGTTGAGATGCTCTAGCTCGCTGATTCTAGCTGCGACTGCTCCATGTGAATAGTATGATGCAACTGGCACAATGAATATGGACAATTCTCTTAGGCGAGCGAGCCGCCCGATCCCAAGTGGCAACCCTTTCAAACTCGAACACCCAACGAGGCTAAGAAACTCGAGATCAATCAATTTCCCAATATCTCTTGGCAATTGCTCGAGATTATCACAAAAATCTAGTACGATCACTTGTAAATTTACTAGTATCGTAATCTCGTCAGGGAGTAGCACCATAGGATTGTGAGAAAGATCTAGGTACCTGAGATGTGTCAATTTATGGATGGAGCGGGGCACACTCTTGAATTTAAGAGTGTTGAGACTTAAAACTCTCAGCCTAGTATTATTTGAGAATATAATCCCACAGTTCCACTCCTTGAAGCGAAGCACATGAACCATAAACAAATATCTAGGAAGGTAAGTTCGTAGTTTTGTTGCTTTTACCAACGCATCGGGGGCTTCCCATGGCCTTGACCGTTTTGCCTGAATAGTAAACGATATATGTCGAAGCCTATCAAAGTTGACATTGCCTTCCATTGAATTTGAAGCTTTTAAAGCAATGATATCCTCGCCTGCGATTTCCGTGGCTAAATCATGCATCAAATCATGCATCTTACACCTCCATACATCCCCCCATGTATCAATCTCCAGCTCTTGGAAAAAGAACCTAGACAATAAACTCTTGAAATATTCAACTCCTACGTCAAATGAAGATGACGACGATTGACTGGTGTTGATAAACCCTTGCCCCATCCAAAGTTGCACCAACATTTTCACATCAATCTCAGAATCTTTCAGAAACAAGCTGCAATAAACAAAACACGGTCTCAGTTCAGAAGGTAGGTTGTCATAACTCAATCTAAGAGTACCCAAAATCCTTCTCTCTTCATTCCCATCTAACAATGCTTGTTTATTTCTTATAGCCTTCCAATCATCCGCGTTGCTTTTCGACGATAGGACACCTGCAATCACCCTTATGGCCAAAGGAACTCCAACACACCTTCTCATGATCACTTTTCCTATCTCTACAAATTATTCACCACCTTCCACTTCAACAGTAAATGCTATTTGTTTAAACAAAGACCATGATTTTTCCTCAGATAAACCTTTCAGCTCGTGTGGTTTAATCCCCTTCGTTGACATGTAATTCGCGACATCTCTAAGTCGAGTAGTGACGATAATTTTGCTACCAACTGCCCCAACCTGCAGCCAAAAACTCATCAAACTATCCCAATTGCCCTTGTAGTCACCATGATCCCAAACATCATCCAACACTAACAAGAACCTCTTATTACCCATCTTCTTCTTAAGTTCTCCCTTCAAGATGTCCAAGTCAAGATCTTCTCCTTTATGTCGGGTTATAGACTCCAACATCTTCTTGACCAACAATGCTTGATCAAAATGATCCGAAACACATATCCAAATTTTCAACTGAAAACAAGGAGACACACTCTCATCGTTGTAGATACACTGAGCCAGAGCAGTTTTTCCTAGACCCCCCATTCCAAGAATCGGAATAACCTCGATTTTCTACTCATCATTGGTCAATGACAGCATACCAATTATTTTCTTACTATCTTCCTCTCTCCCAACAAACCCATAGGGAACAAAAGAGTCAGTCTGCCTCTCGCGCTTGATCGCAGCTGCAGCCGGATCTTGGAGGCGCATTTCAAGATTAAACTTCTTCCGATTCTCATCAATCTCATCTAGCTTGGTCATGATGGCCTTCAATCGAAGAGCCATCATAAGGCCGCTAACCAGTTGGTTGGAACGCGTAAAGAAGAGGCATACCTCGTTCAGACAGCGACTCCCTTCATTTCTTCGCTGCTTCAACAGAGCCTCCATGGAGAAATCATCCAGCAAGTCATCAGCATCATAAAGGACCTGTTTCAAATTATCGAGCCATAATCGAATCTGATGGTTCAGACCCGATTGCTCCTCAGCATCCAACAGCACAGCCTTGATGGTGGAAACCGTGCTCTTCAGTTTCAGGAAATCGCTCTTCAAGCTCCAGAGGAGACCCGCTTGGTCAACAGCAAGGGGAGCCAACTTCTTGAGGATCGCTTCAGCAACAGCAAATGCCATCTCTGGCAGCAGAGACCTTGTGAAGAAAAACGGGTCCAAAGGCAAAGGCAAAGGAAGGAAGAGGATGCAAGAAAATGGGATCGGATGGTTTTCAGAAAGCACAAGAAAGAATTATGATTCAAAACCCAAGTATTAGATCAAGATCGGAGAAGGGGTGTCCGAACGTTTGACTCAGAATGTGCACATGGTAGCTAGAAAATCAAGATGCCCGTTGGCCAGCACCAACTCACTAACGTCACGGCTTTCTGACACAACAACTAATCTCAATGCAAATTGCGAAGTATAATAACATGGATAAATTGCAAGTTTGGTCACTTGAATTACTAGTAAAGTTCACGTTAGTCACTGGAATTACTTTATTCCATCCATAATCATTTAGATTAGGTTAACAGTTCAAGTTTGGTCACTCGCCGTTAGTCTCCGTTATCTTTTGCTGATGTGGCGGTACAATTGACTGTAAAATGAGTGACGTGACAATTAAAAATATAATAAAATAATAAAAAATAATTTTAATAATTTCTACCTCGTTATTACAATAAATTAAAAAATAATTAAAACAAAAAAAGTCACAAACAACATTCTAGGAGCTCGAGATGGGAAGGCAGCAAACAATATTCCCTTATAGCTGATTGTTGGAAGTGGAAGAAGAGCTAAAGCTGGAAAGATCCGCACCAGTCCACCCAGCAGCAGCATTAGCACCAGAACCACCCCAACCGCTACTGTTATAATTACTGGAATCAATACCCACGGCTACGCCGTGGTAACTAAATTTGCAGCAACATGTTCATATGGTGGCCAGTTTATTTGATGCCAAACTATAAAATTATTTGAAGAGTTCCCTTACTAAATTTGACAATGTAACCGTTGATACATACATGAAGTGAAAGTTATTAACAGTCAAATCAATAAGCACACAACAAAATATGTAGCATGCCTAATACATATTCAACACTGAAAAGTACCCTAAGGAAACCAATGACTGGATCAGAAACAGAAGCTCACATGGAACACGGGAAAAGAAGCAAAAGTGTATGAAGAAAAATCTACCAGTGAGCTCAAAGGAATTAAAATGCATAGAACACAAAACTGTGAAGTTAAAAGAATTAAAATGTTTAAAGAACACAAAACTTTCCATCAGCAAAATCACGTTGGAGAAGTGTCCATGACGATAAACCAACTCTCTTCCACTGAAAGATACTACTTACTACACACCGTGCCCTGTTGCAGCTCCTAGTCTGCTTCTTTGACTCACATCTATCCACCAGCGACCTAGAAAACCCAGAAGCATAGAAACAATTAAAAGGAAATGAAATTGAGGGCTTCCAATGAATCTGAAGAGCCAAGACGTGGATACAACTAAAAATAGCAAAGCGTACACTTCAACCTAGAATGTTTCCAGCTCAAGCCTTGAAGATTAGTGAAGAGAAAAACACAACGTTTAAGTATGAGAAACCTGAACTGCACAGAAACTCACCTTTCAATTAAGTGAAGAAAAGTTAAGAAGCAAGGATCAAACATCCTCACATAAATTTATCCTTGAACTGTAAAAATGAACCCTTCAGGTTGAACATATCGTGGTAATAAAACTTCAGAGGCAACAACAAACACCCTCACAAAATCCAAACTATGTCAGTCGAGACTAGCGTCGGTAGCTTGTAGATATCATGGTTGTCAAGGGCTGCCAGGATTCAGGTGTTCTTTTCCACCAAAATCCACATGATGTGCATGTGTGCACAAAGACTTGTGCTCTAATATCCTCAATTTTTTCCCCTTCGAAACCTGCAAACAAAATTTTGAGTCTACCATAAACTATCCCCTAGAGTAGAGATACCACAAAGAAGCTAACGAATAAAAGAATACATGTCATGCAGCAGGAGGATTCACACTTCGACGGGCAACATCTGTGCAATCAACCCTGCTTCCGATCCTGCTGCAAAAACACCTAATATCCTACCTCCTCTCTTGGCTTCTACTGTTGCCTCAGGTGATGAGTAGAGACACTTTTTCTCAATTGAAGGGTTCATCTATCTTCCTAAAACTGGAAAAAGAGAGAAAAAATGTCATTTATAAACCAACAGTATAAAAAAGAACATAACAAAGCAAGAGAATGAGTCACCAAATTGAAATGTTCACCTTTCTCACTTCCGTCGTCGCTTGTCTAGTCTCGTTAGGTCCTTGTTGTTGCTTTAACTCCCTCTACCTTTCTCTTTCTCATGCTACAGCACAAGTTATACAAAAACGGTATTAATAATGAAACAACTAACTATGAAGCTGAGCAAAAAAGCATAAAAGAAAATAAACTTACTTTTTTAGACTACCAAACTGAGCAACAACATCCCACATACTCTACTTTGACAAATAATTGTTGTTATGATGATCCAATACAATGTTCAACATCTAGTCAATCTGCTACGCAGAACCGATCAAAGAGATGAGAAATCATAGTCTTAGGCCATAGAAAATTGCAGTAATGAGGCTGACTTAAAGCATTATATACCATAATCGAAGCTTACATGCTCGACTGCAAAACCAAAATGTCCAAATCTAGTCCTAGTCATACCTGTAAATGCCATATTATGATACTTGAGTCTCCTGTCACCACATTGCTCTGCAAATAGCATAGCACAAACTGAATGACCAAAAAATGTTGTGGGGTGCATGAGATATTTCACCGTAGTCATCTTCTCCAAGAACACCAAAGGAAAGTACTCTAGCTCCAAATGTAGTTGCCATTCTAAAAAATTCAGGTTGTTTTGGTCATAGCAACTAATACTCCCACCCTACAAAATCAAAGCCATTAATAGGCTCACACCTCTTTCCCAGCACGCCAGAATAGAAGCATCCCGTCCTCTCTCTCCAGTTTGTCTTCTCGACTGCTAGGTACCCTTCCCTGCCATCTCACAGATGCAGATTGTTCTGGTTAAATAAACTTAATCACCTTCCTTTACTTGGAAACCTAATCACCCAAATGAAATTTCGAACCCAGAACTGTAACCGGCGAATTCCGAAAAACGAAGATTAAACCAAGAAAAGAACAAAAATTTATGCAGAGATGGGTGCCTGCTGCTCTCCCTCACTTCCTCCCTCTCTCGGTCGGTGGTTTTGTGGGTAGATGGAGGGCTCGACGTCATAGAGTTCTGCTCTATGCTTCTTCTTCATCTACTAGGCGCACAACCTCCTTCATGACTGACTTCACTGCTGCTTTGAGGTAGGGCTACGCGGCGTTTAAGTCCAGGGCATAGCGAGTGGAGGAGGGGAGGAGTAGATTTTCTTGGCTTTGTGCAGATCGCGGAGGTCCACAACAACGATGTTGAGTGTTGATCCATCATGCTACCATCGACAACGGCTTGAGATCTAACCGCCATCACTTTCTGGTCAAATGGAGCACCTTAAATGCAGTCACCATTTAAAAAAGATGCAGTCACCATCGACGATTGATGAAGCGGAGAGATGGGAGGCCAGTAGGCCGGACTTCTAGTACTCATTTTTAGGGATGAAACTTATCTTCGTCGTAGGAAAAGGCTGATGGCGAGATTTTGTATAGAGCTAATCTCGTCGTCGGAATCGACCATACCTATCGAATGAGAGATTGGGTGTTGGGAAAGAGGAATGGCAAGGAAATGTGAAGGTTGGAGTACTGAAGTGGGTTGTGTGTGAAGTGGGTCGCGTGTGAAGTGGGTTGAAGGAGTTATACTGTTGAAAAGCACATCGGGATGGCGAGATTTGGGAATGGGGTTGGAGGATAGAGTCCCTGAGTCGGAGGAGGATCAATCCGCGGGTGAAAGGATGGCAGTGGAGAGATGGTGCCATGGTGGTGTTAATAGAACAACGTAAAGAGGCTGTTTAAATTCTCCCTTCGCTAGACGACAAATAGTGAAACAGTAGTTGCGCCAATAAATGGTACCCAACTTCTATATTTTAAAGAATAGCTAATAATTATACTACCTTGCTGCTGCTGACTATTCATATGATGATCAGTAACACCATGATGATTATTATGATTATCTTATATGTAAAAGCTGGCTACGCTTTATTGGCCTAAACTTCCAACTACTGTTTCATTATTTGTCGTCTACTGAAAAAGGTCTTTGGGTCTCTCTTCCATCCCCCTCCCTCCGTCGTCATCTGCCCACCACCGCCGTCTCGCCTCCGCCAATCTACGCCGTGTAGCTGCTGCCCAGCCTACGTCCAATCAACCTCTCTCCTTCCCTACACGAAACCCATACCGCCTTGCCACAAAGTCTGCGAATGCGGGTCGTCCTGCTGTCCTCTCTTTCTTCAGCGCCGAACTCACCTTACCTCCTCCATAGAGGACCATGCTTTTCTGGTCAGCACGCCACCGCGTTTCTCCTCCACACGCTACCCCCTGCCAATTGTAGGTTTGTGTCTTTGTCCCTCTCGATTGGTGGACTAGCGAACTAAGGTTTAATACCCTCATGTTCCTCTCTATCTCCTCTCGCTTTCCTCTTTCTCCACCCCTGGTTTGCTCCTCCCAAAATTTTCTCCGCCCCTCCTCCCACCTTCGCTCTCCACCGTTCCCACATTCTGCTAATACTGTTTTGGTTAGCCGATTCCTCTGCACCGCGAGTCGAAGCCAAAGTTGGAGTCGTAAAAGGCGCCGGTCTCAAGATAGGAGACCGAAGTCGTGACCTGAGACGTGGGCGTTGGCTTGCTGCAGCAGGAGTCCGCACCGCAGTCGTAGCTACATCAACTGCAGAGTCAAAACTTCTTCCTCGGGGAATGATGGGAGGTCTGGAGGAAATGGTGTTCGTCGAGATGTGGTACAATAGAGTGTGGGTCCGGGGAGGATGTAGGTTTTAGGCCCCACAGCGGCCAATCGGATGTGTCTGAAGATTTTGGGGGAGATAGTATGGAATGGGAAAGAAGAGGCTTTCACATTCCAATCTACAGACTACAGTGGGTGGGGGAGAGAGACGACAAAGAAAGAGAGGAAGGAAGTGGAGTATGTATGCTTAATTTGGGGTTTTAGTTTCTTATGCCAGGCTCTGCTGCTTTTTCCATTATTGTTTTTTATTTCTGGGGTTTCAATAATGCAGGCCGTGTTCCTCAATGAAGGGAAAAACATGTCATTCTGTTCCCACTTATAACAACAAGTAAGCATCATCGTCGATCGATGAAGGAAAGGGTCCAAATAGCTAGAAGAAGGAAGTCCTCCAGAATTGGCGATGAAAAGATAAAGGAGAGGAAGAGAGATAATGAGGAGAGACTGCAAAGAAGAAGGATGATAAGCTTGCTGCCTAAAATGAAGAAGGTTTATGTAATTTGGGGATTTGCAGGTTTAGGTAGCAGATTAGCCACTAGCCATGGAGGAAACGATGAAGAAGTATCAACTGAGATTCAGAAGTTTAAAGGATGAAATGGAGAGATGGGAAGCTCTTTAGTCCCGTATTCTTCTTCCATCGTTGAGAGTTTACAGGTGAACTTTTATCCTGCTTTGCTTGCTGAATCTCTGGAAGCAAATTTGTGTGCTTGAGTTCAGTTCTTTGTTTATTGTCCTTTAGACTCATTATTTCTGTAGACGAGCAAAGGTTGTGATTAATTCCCACAAAATGATGTCATTCTTGATAGGCTGCTCATGTTTTTGGAATGTCTGTGTATTTAGTTCTTGCTTTAGTTCATGGAAATGACATAATGAATGTTGGTTGGCTTCAAAACGATAATGATCGTTGATTATGGTATTGGGATGCACATGCAGGTATTTTGTGTGTGTGTGTGTGTGTCAGATTCTTTATGGTTAGATTGACGCTCAAGATTCTTACTTGCTTATTCATTTGAGATTGATGTCTTTTAAGCTTCAAACTATGTGTTTTTGTTTTCTTTCTTGAAAAGTATTCGTCATAGAAGATACGTATAGGACATTCAATTAAGAATGTTTGTAATTGCAACAGATGCATAAACTAATTATATGGGATTTGTTTGTACTAAAAGCAACAAGAATCTAAAGTTCTTTCCCATCAAACATCCAGAAGCAGGCAGAGGAATATGAGGGTCTAATCATGGAAGAAGTCGATCTTGAACACCATGGATACATGACAAGGTTTCTTAGTGGCCTGTTTCTTAATGCAAACAGATAGCCTAGAAATGCTTCTGCTACAATTTTTGGTTTCTCTCTATGTTGTTTGATTATGGCATCGGTCTTTGACTACTACTTCTGCTTTGCAGCCTCGGCTATCCACTTTACATTGTTGTACTTTGCAGAGGTTGTCATTTTTCAGGACCAAGGTAGAGATAAAAGAAGAAAGATAGAGATGGACAACAAATCAATGATAGAGACCATCCTTTCGAAGCTACCATGGACGGATGGAGACCCTAGATGCTCCAGTGGGTTCTCGAAGTTATCGACGATGTGGACGAATGAAATCAGTGAGTTCTCTTTCTCCTATTAGTTCCTTCTGGGCAACGGTTTTGGGCCTCCCCGCATGTCGCTAGCATCGGGATCTTTAATTTCAATCTTTCGATATCTTCCTAGGGTGTGCTGTTGTAGGAAATTGAATCCATGCAGCTTCATGACCACGGGTTCTCATCATTCTTAGGCTAAGATCCTTCATCTCTACTCTCCATTGTTTTCCCTGCTCCTTCACTCTGAATCTCAATTTCTTTTCTGCACCAGGTGGACTCCATCTCATCTCGGGAAGTGATGACTGGATTCATGGAAGAAGTCAAGCATTTTGAAGTTCGCGGTATATAGAAGATTAAAATGATGAAAGATTCAATGCTCTTTGTTTCCTGGTTCTTTTATGATGAAGTGTTATTTTAATTTATTTTCCTTTTTCCTTCAGATATATATATCATCCAATCTGGGTACTAACTGGGAAGAGTTGCAGGATCATACCAGCAACAATATGCGAATAGCATAGAGCATTTTTCAGTCGGTTCCAGTGGGATTGTGTGTGTTAGCTCTCCCGCCATTCTTCTTTTCCAACAGGTTACTACTTACTATTACCTCTCTTTGTTTGTGTTTTTGGTCTGTCTTGCTCATGTATGTGTGCTTTTTTATTTCTTACCGAGGCTGTTGCACTCGAAGGGGAGGCGAAATGGAGTTTCAAATCCTTTTGAATATGAAATTTGGTGGTGATTAACATGAACATTATAGCTGGAAATATGTGTTTGCATGATATAATTGAATGGCTAATGCATGTATGCATAGAAGACCTGTCTTGAATGAAAGCCAATGTTGTATTTGGTGGAAAGGGCTGAATTTCCTTTCAAAAGATGTCAAATATTTTGTTTGCTTGCCCTACGTCAGGTCCGTACGATCGTACCTATCATTGATCTCTTTTCCCAACCACCAAATTGGAATTTTGGTTAATTGAAAGATATCAGCTGACACAAAAATGCACATCAGTTCTCTTAGTAGCCTTTTCAGGGGGTTTTATTAGTCTATGTCTTGCTAATGGATCTGTATGGAAAGGGAAATTTCAGCAACCCATTAAATTAATGTGGTGAATTTGAATGCAGGTGATGCTTGCTTCTGGTGGACTCTACCCTGAAGTTAATATACTATAGGCTACAGCTGATGCTCACCAATAGTGATACCAGAGGAGAGGAGGATAGGTTTATGTTGTCTTATTTTGAGAGAGTTTAGGTAAGGAAGTAGGCGGTAATGGTAAAGTGATTTTGTTTTGTTTTACTTCAGTTCCAACTGTTTTCAGCGAAGCTCTCTATTTGGTTAGTTGAAGTCATTAGAATACATTATTAGGATCTTACTGCAGCGGGAGACAACTTCATGGAGTTTGATGGGGAATCGCCTTAGAAAAATAGGGAATAGAATCGAAGCATTTAACAAGTCGGTTAGAAAAGTTAATTAGGTAGTTAAACCACTTCGAGATCTTAGGTCTTTCAGTTTCCATTCCAACTGATGAATCATTACGGTCGAATGGAGTCAGGATTCAATGCCTTGGCTTTATTTGAATCTTGGTCATTATGTTTCTTCATTAGGTTAAATGTACAAGTACACTGCCAATGTTAGTCTTCTTCAGATGTTGTTTAATTGGGTCAACTTCTGGATGGCCCAGTGGTGAATATCTTGCTAATTATGTTGTTTGGTTCAGTTCCTGAAGTTTTTAGTGTTTAATCTATTTGTTGGTATCACTAAGATAGTGAGATACTGAGTTTGGTGGTGATACAACCAACTGTGACTGGAGGCAACCATTATATACATAGATTGATTCAATAGTTGAGTCATATTTCTTTAAGTGAATTGCTCAATGAGTTATTATGGTTGGTTAGTTCTAGAGAAAATTTGGTTGTTCAGAACAATGGTGATTAGTAAGTTGAGTGCTTAGGTTCATTTTTGTTTGTAGTGACTGGAGCTACCAGCAAGGTATCAGTGGCTTTTCAATCCAATTGTGAGGGAAACATGAAATGCTGGGTGTTGTAAGTCTATTGCCTTTTTGTAAGACGTCACTTTAAAAGATTTGAAGCTCCCACAGTTGGGAAGTTGTTGGGATTACAACAACATTTGTAGGGTCACAAACATGACTCTCCACCTCCTTACAGCAAAGCAAACCACAACAGTGTGGTTTGACCATAAACTAAACTGCCATCCATTCATTACGTTTTTGCATCGTAAGTCCCCGCGGCGTAGCAGCGGCATTTTTTCTAGTTATTATTAATCCCCAGCAAGAGCTGCCTGGCGAGATTCCTCTGGTGATTGTGGTGGCTCTGCTCCATCTTCACCGCCTCCATCGAACTCGTCAGCTCATTACCCATCAGCCCCGCCGCCACCGACGACTTCCCCGCCGCCTCCCCACCCTCGAACGGATACATCAGCCCCGCCGAAGCGGAAGGAGGCGCGTTCGCCGATGAATCCATCAACCCTCCACCGAAAAACGACATTTGCTGCTGGAATCACCACCATCACGTCAACCATCCTGCGGTAAAGCTCGAAAGCAATGAGGCGACCGAGAAGCAGCGGCAGCTGCTGCCAGTGTTGCACTGGGCTTGACGTTGGATCTCACCCGGGCAAACAGGGAAGGCAACAGTCGCGTAGAAGAAGAACTAGGAAGTAGAAGGAACTTTCCATGTTCGATCACCAGCCAACAAGCTAGCCTTCGAAAGATAGATTATTCATACAAACAAAATACGCTTTCAACAATCATTCACAACTGACCGACCCACGGTTTATAATTTTCCAAATGCTAATTCAATAGATGGAATTGAGAAAAGAACAACAGAAAAAGGACGATTATACCAAACCAAATGATATAAGTTTTTTTCACTGTGTATTAGGCTATTAGCTTTGGAAAAATCGAGCTACAAGTGCTTCACTTCAACTAGACAATATATTTACTGGGCAGTCATATAAAGGAAGAGGCAGCATTACTAGATAACATTAATAGGTGAATGCCGATCCTAAAGTTGGCCACAATTGATAGATTGTCAAGACTAGAGGTTAGTGCTCTACAATTTGCTGCCTTTGTTATTATTACAGTAGAGGTAAACTTCCTTCCCAGAAGCTGATGAGACTGGCACAGCAGAGAAACCAACATATGCTCCTGCTGCTCGATCTCTACAGATCTCAGCAACTTTTTGGAACTGTCCATGTTTCTTATTGTAGGGCTGTTCCACATACTCCTTGATTGGCATCCACTGCAGAGAAGAAGGTAGAGTACTGCAGTTCTTAATCACTTCTTCAGATATCACAAACTGTAACAAATCAGTAAGTAAACAGAAGTACATTTCAAGAACCACTTACCTTAGATGCTGCAATCTCTGATTCCTGAGCAGTGATGTTTGAAGAAAGTGGGTGCATCATACATACAAAAAACAGGTCTGATTTGCTGAAGAACGACTTGTGGCTTTGCCTGAATGCTAATATTTCGACAAATTCAGCGTCAATCTGATTGACAAAAGATCGAGAAAACCCCAAAGAAGATAGATCAGCACAAGAGTAAGTTTCATGTGATTGGAAAAAGAAGCTTAGAACACTTTTCCAATCTACTTACTCCCGTTTCTTCTTTCACTTCTCTTACTGCAGCTGCATAGATGTCTTCACCCTGAAAAATTTAGCACACAAATTCCAGTCATCAATTGACCAACTCATGGAACTTTGCAGAAGGCCAAAAAGAGATTTGAAATAAATAAATAAAAACCCATTTTCCCTAACCCTCTTACCTCATCAACTACACCAGTTGGCATCTTCCAATACTCTGTGCCTTTGAAACCTCCATTCTTCTCCATGACCACCAATACCTGGCAAACCAAACATCGCAGCAGACCATTGGCAAACTGATCAGGTACAAGAGATTAAAACTTGCTTCACAAGCCATTTCGGAACATGGGTTTCGAACCCTCCATAGTGCTAAATGGTATGGTAGGAAGGGGGAACGATATTCACCTCTTTGTTTCCATTGAGCACAAATGCCCCAATACCAACTCGATGAGATGCATTGATAGGTAGAGTATCAGGTTCATCTTCAGGCAGCCAACGCACGAGCATCACATAATCTGATTCAGCATGGTGAAACCTAAACCCTTCCTGTAACCAACGGAATCCCAGACACCAGTTCATTCAATTCATTGGAAACCTAAGAACAAAAAGTCCACCCTAGAAATGGAATTTAAACCGAGGCGTGATTTTGAGTACCTTGACTACTGAATCCACTAGGTGAGACTGGTTTATCGGCAACTCCATCCAAAGTCCCCTCTTCCCCTGTACAAAACTCCCACACTTACTATCAAAATCTGCAGAGGTTGAAGACTCTGAACCCTAAAAAAATCAAGTCGCAGCCTTAAACCATTTTAATTTTACCTGTTCCTTCCATTTGGAGATGGAATGTCTCAGTCGAGGCACGAAATCTGCAATTTCCATATGCTCGCTCACTAGCACAGTCACTCCACCATAAGGATCCTCGTTTTTTGCTTTCAACAATTGGATCTCTTCCTTCACTCCTCCATCAACGTGGCGATCCTCATTAGCCATTGTCGGAACCATAACACTTTCTGAAGAAGAAGTGGACATGTTCTTTACTCTTGCTGACGAAGAAACTCTCTCCTTGCCACTGCGGGTTGTGGTAGTGGTGGTTCTACTACCTTCAAACAACAGGATTGTTATTCACCGCACTACTTTTTACTAATTGCCTTACTAATTTGATATAAAAAGACCTATTTATCCTTAATGAAACAAATCTTCCTCTTCTCCTTTCTTTTTCCCTGCCCCACTTTGCTTCTCTTTTTTGGACCATATAAAATGACATGGTTTGTTCTAGGATAGATTGACCTTGTAAAATAGGATCATTCGTCCGAGACAAAACCATTTAAACTAGGATTATCCAGACAAGGTTCGCCTGTGTTAAAATACATTGTTCCACCTATATTGGATCATATGATTTTACATGGTTCGAGTCAAAGTCCTTATAAAATTGAATTTTTTTTACTTTAATGTGGTCCAAGTTTTTATAGCAAGAGGGAATGAAATAAATCATATTCTCATAACATAAAACCAATATTCACATAACATAAATAATATATTCCTATAACACAAATACAATATACATATGAAAAATGAATTAAAATGATTCTTTTTATCCTACATCTATTCTAACAAGTTTTATATCCATGTCACATTATGGACAAATATTGTGAATTGTATTGTGGATCATAATAATAACATAGCGAAAATATCATATTATCAAACATAAATACAATATTCACGTAACAAAAATATTATATTCTTGTAACACAAACACAATATTCGTATCAAAGACAATTAAAATGCATTCTAAATGGTACGCAATCAATTTGTATTCTAATTTGTCTTACCTATATTTTAACAAGGTTTATATCCATGTCTTTATTCACTTTAACGAAAAAAGTATTTCATATCATTCCTTACTAATTAGACCTCTTACTCTCTCTTTCTCTCACACACACTCTCTTCTTTTTCCATTCACAATCTATCATATTCTTATAACCCTACCACTTGATGTTGAGATACTTCATGAAAGTTACCGTGATATTTACGTACAAAGTCAGGGGGCGGGTATAGATGCTACCCTTAATCACTTGAGATGAGATATTTGTTTCATAGTAAAATACAACTGCTTTGTTTAAGTCAATTGCCTCTAGTAATAGTTAGAGCATCGTATTTGTCTTGTAAGAATATTTTATCTGTGTTATTGGCATATTGGTTTTGCCTTATAAAAATGCAACTCGAAATCTTACGATTTAGAATCCATTTTAATCACTGAATATTGTATTTGTGCTATATGAATATGATAATTGTGATATATGAATATTATATATGTGTTATGCGAATATTGTATATGTGTTATGAGGATATGATATTTGAATAAAGTAACTATTATGATATATAGGTTATGTAAATATTTAATTTATATAATGTGAATATAATATTTTATTTTTTTATTCCTTTCCTCTTCCTACCTAAAAATTCGAAAATTTAACTTTTGATGTGATCCAACTTTTTGGATAGAAAACTGAATATATTAAAATAAAACACAGGAAAATACAACCACATAGATCGAACACATCATCTCCCCCGTCAAAAATTGGTAAGAGTTTGAGCTTTTACCACTAAACTAACATCTTAACCTTTAGATTAGTCTACAGCATAAAAAGATTTAATAAGCCATGGCCCCAAATCATCGTGTTGCCTCCACCCCGGCTGCTAAATTCGATTAAACTGGTTATGACTTGTGATAATAGAAAAAGTTCAAATTTCGATGAACACAGAACACGGTAGAACATATATATATATAAATTAATATATATCTATACGTAGAATTATTATCCTCGCTTAGCAATAATGTTGGTAGCAAATGAAGATAATTAATTAAGCACAACTTAAAATGTTGAGCAGATCTGCGGCCGACTTTTGCTAAAGAACATGTACGTATTCCTAATTTACACGGCATGAAAATATTCTTGTTCATCGAGTTCCTTCATGTGTCGGTAAAGTATTTAAGTTAACAACCAAAAATCCTTTTGGTTAATTAGCGGAACCAAGTTAGTAATTATCTCTTCCAACTCCAACCAAGTTAAATGGCTATAGTAATCGGAAATGGAACAAAACTTATAGTGCATGTTTTAATAGTAAAATATTGGATAAACTTGTATTTCATTGGGGTTTGATTTAATGTAGTATTTTTGTTTTAACAAAAAAAAAAAAAGAAGATTTTTATGTGGTAAAAATACATTTTCTTTCTTATTAGTTTCAACATATGGTTCAAACACATAGGAATAAACTTATTCCTTTTTCTACAAACTAACAGTTATCAAAGAATAGATATATATTCTCCCAGATTTTAAAAGTGTTCCGGAACATCTCTTGGTTGGCAGCCGGGGAGAAGTTATCATGATAATATGTTGTGGAATAGGTAGGTTAATGATTCACCTCGAAAATGTATGTGGGTCATTCCTATATCTGGATTTCCCAGGATTGAAACCGATTAAACTTACTAATTATTGTTGAGCTAGCTATATATGAATATAATGATGATCAACTGATAGCGTACCTTAAACTTAAAAGGTGGTTGCGGGCTGGAAATAACGTTCGGCGGGCAGAGCAGAAAATGAAACGAGGAGGAGTATATAATGTAGGAAGGGAGAGATGGAGTCAGCAGTGGAATTTCAATTTAGAGGTATGTTTGGCTTAAGACCAATAGCCTGCACTATATATAGTCATATAGAGAGAAAGAATCTAATTAAATGTATTATTACTATGCTACGAAAGGAAATGACATTTATTTATTAGTTAAACAACACCCACCACTAAAGGAAATGCATGAGAACCTCACAATATATACTAGCTAGTTGGATATTAGCGTACGAATTATTATGGATTCTTTGCTACATAAGTTCTGTAATTGGAATTTGTGTATAAAGGGTGATCATTTAAATTCAACCTATCATTCTATTAATTACCAAAAGAATCTAATTAATTCAATTTGTTTAATCCAAATTCAATTGATTGTATGGTCGGAAAGCTGGAGTTTAGTATCTATATATTTGTACAATTTGATACCTAATATTTCTAATAATTTGTATTGGTCAAATTTTTATTGAGATTTGTACAAATGGGAATCATCGACTCCACCTAAAGGACATGAAAGAGCACAAGGAAGATGTTGCTTCTTAAATAATATCGGGCAAAAATATATAAAGAGAACTGGTCATTTACAATAATATTGTACTTGGACCTTGGTACTCGGTGGTTAGATTTACCAACCGCCGCGTTTAATTAAGGCACTCCATCGATGTTATGGTTGCGAACATTCCCAATGTCTAAGGAGGAATTGGACCATGAAACTTCTTCTTTTTGCCCGTGGAAATTGGTAATACTCGATCGCTCAACTATATCCTAGTTTTGAATGAAGGTTGTTAGCTTGTTTGTATATTAATTCATTAGAATAGTAAATTTTTTGTGTAATTAGAGTCGTAGAACTGTTTTCCGGCGAGGAAAATTGGTGTTTGAACTCAATTAATGCACCTTGACTTTTTGAACTACGATTCTAAACACGGTTTACACCTCTCCGAACAAAATTCGAACGAGGGTGTTTGATGTTTTGATGATTTTTTGGGAACAAACTACGTTAAATTACTTCTACTCCTATGACCTATTATTCTTCTCTTGTCTTCCGAAAATCCCTCTATCTCTCTCCCCCCTCTCAATCTCCGATCTGCCTTCCCCAAATCCCTCTCCCCGCCCCCTCTCTCTGACCATCTAAAGCCTTTCAATCTCTGATCTAGAAGGCAGGGCGACAACTGACGGTGACCTAGGAAGGGGAAAAAGGGTATGGCAGCAGTGAATCTAGAGTCGGTGGCAGAGGACGAAGAGAAAGAGTCGCCAGGCAAAAGAAATAGGAGGTTCTGAATCTCACATGCGAAGGCGAGGGGGACGCGGCGACTGAGACCCCTTCGCATCCTCCGAATCTTTCCAGTTCTCGCCCACCTCCAAGGTTGAAAAAGGCAGGGACGACGGCGACGACCTACACTCAATCTTCACGGGCATCGACCTTCTTTTCCTTCATTTGATGGGTCGACTGTCGCCGCCTATTAATCGGCGGAGGCGACAACTTCGGCGGGGCAATGAGAGTGAAATATTGTGTGGTGCATGTCTGGTTGGGGCACCGAGGTTGGGATTGGGGAGATTGGGACGACGATGTCGAGGACAGATCTGGTGGAGGTCAAGAAGCTTCTGGAAGGGGCAGAGCATAGGGTGTCTTTAGCCTTCTATTTCATTTGGCGGTTATTTATCGGTGCACCGAGTTTTCTCGGTTAGCCACCGTCGATTTCTGGCTATGGATATTGCCTGAAAATGGCAACCGACACCGAACACATATAAACGGTTTCGGTTAAATCAAATAACCATGGTTTTCGTGTCGGTTTTCGGTTTACCCGAATAACACCCCTAAGTGTTGATGTGGTGATGCTCTCAATTGACCCTAAGGAGATCTTCACTCTGAGGTCAATTAACACCAAATTAGCCCCCCCTCCCCCCGGAATAGTCTCAGCCTCTAGTACCTTAAGGGTATTTAGATAAAATTGAATACGTAAGGCTCGGGAAGTACATTGTACCATATGATAGTCATGTAGTCTACTGGTAGCTTAGCTAGATTTCCAGTGTTAGGTTTGATCCACAACTATTTCACATTTTGCCTTACCCACTTTTTAGACTTTATTACCTTAATTCTCCAAACGACAACAATGTCCCCATTAGTGTCAAAAATTACAACGAAAAACCACCCAAAACACACTGATTTTCATTCTTTTTATTATTTTAATCTTAATCCTCCAAACGGAAACAATATCCTCATTAGTGCAAGAAATTACAACGAAAAAACCACCCAAAACACACTCCTTTTCATTCTTTTTATTATTTTAATCCAACGACTCAAACTCTATTTAATTTTAACTTGGGGATTTTTCGAATTGAAATTCCAATCATTCTCTTTTATAGAAACGATATGATCTATTCTTTTATCTATGCCAGAGATTAACCTATTTAAGATTGTTAAATGAATATTATTTTGTTGATAGGCTAATTCGTCTTCTTCTAACCCTTCTAGTTTTCACTGCTATACGTGATCGTTCATTTTCAGGTATGAAGATAGTGAAGAATAGATTGCGAAAAAAATAAATGATGAGTTTCTTGTTAATGATTTAATTAGCTATTTATAAATATTGAAAGACAGATAGCTAATTTTTTTAGTTTAGATACTATTTTGAGTGATTTCAATGATCTCAAAGGACGTTGTGTACTTTTAAAATAATTATACTTTTATTTACATTTAATTATTTTCGGCCCATCCGGTGTCGAAATCCTGGCTCATCCCCTGCTCCCAATTGATAGAGGAGTAGTAGTATTTTCGTTAGGAAAATATCCACTCTGTATTTCCTAGCTTCATGAGCTTTTGCTTCAACACCAACTTTTTCTTGTGCCACAGCTACCACTTGCTGCTCAATTGTATCTTCAAGCTCCTCATTTTTAGTCCTGGGCACCTAACTCTTATTACTTATGGCAAGTCTAGAAGGGACGGAGCCAGGAACTTAGGAAGGGGGGCCGATAATTTTTTTTTTTTAAGAAATAAATTATTATGCTATTTATCATTCAACAATAATTACCAAAATATCAACATATAAAGCCTATTTTTAACTACTAGAAGAGCTTTGACATATTGTTTGGTTAAAAAGTTAAATTTCTAATCATAAGAAAATTGACTTGCAAAATTCAGAAAAATTAGGGTTAAAATGAGAAAAATATGCCTCAAATGTGAAATTTTGATACGAATTGTAAGACGGTGGGTAAAGGATCTACTAAAATAGGAAAGTTTAGTACCAAATTGTAAGACATAACAAATGTGGGGTTGAGAAAATCAGGTATGAATTTAGGGATGGGCAATGGGTGGGTCAACCACTAGACTCACCCGAATCCACCTGATTATAACTCACCCATTGCATGTTTTGGTGGACGTGGAGGGTGGGTGTGGGTCATTGTTTCTGTCACCCACTAAATTTGGATGGGTAGCGGGTGGGTCATTACATGCTAAATCACATTATATATTAAGTCATTAATTCACATTCTATAATAAAACACTATTATTTTATACCAAAACTTCAATCGTGATTGATTCAATTAAATTATAATTATCTTTTTTAAAAGTTTACTTAATTTACAACATAAAATTGATCATTTTAAAATATGATAACTATCAACAAAATATTGTGTGTTCACAAATGAGTGGGTGGATTTTGCCCAAAAACCCACCCATTGTCCATCCTCCTAGTCTTATTAGTCCATAGCGGAGGCTCCATTGTTCTAGCCACCGACTCTATTCCTTCCACTGGGAGCCCCATACTTTCAGCCAGATTAGTAGGGTTTCTACCTTAAGAGTCCATGGTTGAATCCCTGGGTGCTACTTCCTGAAGAATATTTTGTTGCCCTGGAAATGTCAAGGCCCGGACTGGCACACGGCACACACATCTGCTACTTGCGTCCGATGGAGATTGAAAAACAAGCATGGAAGGGCCTAAACGAGAAACCCTAACCTGCTCATCTCTACCCCAAAGTGTACCCACACACAATTGTAGCAGCGTCAGCTTCAGAAGAGAGCCAACAAAGTGGCCAATAAGAGAACCTTCCCATCGATTCTCCGCCTTTGCCTTTACCTCCCTCGGTTATCGAAACATATCATGAACTTTCTCATGCAGGCGATAATTATGCCTATATTCTCCAGTGCCACCTCTAGAATCTGGGTCCAGGATTTCATTTCCGTCGACAGCCCTGCTTTAAATTTTTATCTCTATATATCCTGGGTCTACCACTTTCCTACTAAAACGATCCACACCTCTAGGAATGACATGGGCGGGTTTGCCTAAACCATCCTCATCCCCATCTTTAAATACTCAAATCCATACTCGTCTCATACCCATGCGAGGAGCAGTGGCGGATCTAGAGCTGAGCCAACCCGGGCCACGGCCCAACCCTCCTCTAGATCCAGAATTAGTATAGTGCTTAGAAATTTCTCGGTTTAGGTATTCGGCCCAGTGCTATTTCAAATTCGGTCCAATTTTATTTGATAATAGAATTTTTTGTAACTAGCATAATGATCTATATGAACATATCCAAACCACTAATCTTAATATAGACTTAAAATTCTAGACCCAATTATTTTATTTGAAAAAATACATTAGAACCTAAAAGTGTAAAATATAGTTTCATTGAAATAAAAATATATATATATATATATCCCTCTAAACTAAAGCTCACCCATCCTGCACAACTCAAAAAAATTCCCCAATCCCCCACAAAACAAAACGAAGAGACGAACGGATCCGAAATAGATTACTCTGGCAGTCCGTCGAGCGCTAGATTTCTTTCCAGTCTTCCGATTAAGAAAATATTTACAAAGTTGATGAGTCATCATTTAGATTGCCTTAGTTGAATGGAAACTGGGATTGGGGAAGTTTTCTTCTCTTGCAAAATTACTAGAGAAGTTGGAGGAAACTGGGATGGATAAACAATACAAATGGATTTTTTGGTTGATTCATTTAGTGTTGACCTTGCTCATTTCAACGACTACCATGGAGAGAACATTTTTCAGCAATGGAACATATGAAAACTGATTTGTGCAACAAAATGAACGATTAATTTCTCGTTGATTGCTTAGTTATTTTCTCTGTGAGAGAGTATGATATTGGTATGGATGGAGATTCTATTATTGATGGATTTGCGAAATCAAAAAAGCTTTTTTTGTAAAATTAACTTTGTAATGAAAACTATAGTTTATATTTTTGGGTACGGTAGCTAATATTCCATTCAAATGCGGCCTAGTGCTCTATTATATCCTGCATCCTCCGCTGCAGGGGAGTGTTTTGCAAACTCATCCCCATACCCGTGGGTTTCAGGTACCCATGGGTAATACCCGCTCATACATCCAACATTATTATACCTAAAACTTTACAAGAAAAATTTTAAT